ACCCTGGAAAGTGCGTCGTGATGACGGTGTTAAATCACAAATCTTGGGAAACGTGAGCCAAGATGATATTTGTGCAGTATTAAACCGAGGGTCAGCCAGAGAGAAAGAGAAACTCTCGGCCGCCTTTGTCTTCCAGCAGCACGTGATAAGAATTTGCATACGCTCGAGAGAGCATCTCCTCTTGGAAATAAAAATCAAACACCACGAGATACACTACTACAACATACCTTGAATTTCGATTTAAAGCTTTCGTGACTGCAAGGATTCATCTTCTTTGGTTCTTTCGGTAAAGTCACGTAGAATGAGAATAAAATAATAAATTGATAAAATAAAATAACACAATAATATTCTCACGACGTTTCGGCCACAACACAAGCGGCCTTCATCAGGTGAAGGGACGAGACTATCTGGTAGGACAGCGCTGATGAAGGCCGCTTGTGTTGTGGCCGAAACGTCGTGAGAATATTATTGTGTTATTTTATTTTATCAATTTATTATTTTATTCTCATTCTACGTGACTTTACCGAAAGAACCAAAGAAGAACATACCTTGAGTCGCATCCAGAATCATAACTGCAGGTGGTACGGTACCAAACTATGATAAAATAAATGTTAACTTTAAAAGCCTCAACACACCCTTTGTGCGTCGGAAAATGTCACACGGGGGGGAGGGGAGGGCTCGACCGGAGGAGGCTCGCCCCTCCTTCCAGACTAATTGATGAAGAGAGTGAGACAAGGGACACACTCGGAGCATCTGTTTCCTTTTGATGGCTTCTACGGCTTGAGGAAGGCGAGGGGACCATGCCTTGATGAGACTAATATTACCTCAATAAATGACACACACACGAACACACGACAATCCACAACCCCCCCCACACAACGCAGAGCGAGATCAAAGGAATCCGGCCCTGTGTGAGAGAGGAACGGGAGTAAGCATCTGTGTTTTTCTTCTCGCAAAAGACGCGCAGAGGGGAGATTTTTTTTTTCCGGATATAAACAGCTCAACCATCAGCTCGAAAATTCAGCTCGGCGAGCGACCGAAGAGGGCCGGTGAGCGGCAGGCTCCAGCGGTGGGCCCCGCAATCAACCGAGGATGGCGAGGCTTGCAGAGTGGCGATGTGTCACCGAGCGCGAGTTCAGAGCCGAAAGACAAAGTATCGCTGAAAGACTTTCATTCTACATCGAGTGCCAGCTCCCAGCTGCAGAGCAACCAGCCTGAGCAGCTCCACCAAGCAAGGGTGTCAGCTAGCAGGAGAGAGCGCGTGCAACGCAGCTCCTGCAGCAGTGGAAGGAGCCTGCTGCTGTCAGCGGACCAGCGGCAAGAGCCATCGAGCATCGTGCCGACACAGCTCATCATCCAGCGGCGGAGAGAACCTTCAGCCAACGTCCGACGCCGGGTGACAGAGGGAACCAGCCGTTGTTCGTATAGCCCTCCCCCACCCTCACAAACCCATGGCGCTCCCGGCCTCTGCTCACACAAGAATTTACCAAAGAGACAATCCACCGCACCCACACAATATTAAGACTAATGATAAAAGTGCATTAAATATCAACTGATCGTGAAGAACATTGCTGCCCATTGAGTTAGGTGGATAAGGTCATTTAGAAGCATCTTAGTCGTTCGTTTTTTTTTCTTTTTAATTGCATAATCTTGCCGATTAATTTATTGACGTATATTTGTGCCTTTGGGGTATAATAACTGCTTTGATCGCCTTTCGCATGAATATCGTCGGATGAATTTTTAAGGACTTTTTATTCTCATTTGCCGTGTATGCTCGTGGTACTCTGAAGTAATCAATTGATCTGTTACCCAATTAATGTGATTATTGAGGGTTGAATTTATGGTCATTGAGGGGAACATCGCCTGGAGTACTGTGTTGACAATTTCAAGCATAATAATTCGCATATTAGAAGTTTTTGTTTAGAATATCGCACATGCCGGTGTTAAGACTCTCTATTACCAACGAAGCTCGCGTTACGCGGTGGAATTAATCATAGGTGCTGTTGCCAAAGTGAAACAACGCAATCACTGATGTTAAATGTCCTACTACCTGAGAGGAAATTCCCCGATGGTACTGTGTTGATAATTCCAAGCACGAGAGTTCGCATATTACAATGTTAAAGTTTTGTTAGCATAAAATTGCTTAACACAGAAGAGTTGAGTGTTTCTTTCCTGAGTTCATGCACGATAATCTTATTTATAAGAACTGTATTCTGCGTTGAGATTTGAATTTGGAGACCTGACATAAACACACTAATACATAATAAATGTTAAAGCGAGAATAATTGTATTATACCGATTGATAATACCAACCTAGACAACGAAGCAGAGTTTAATCTGACATACAGCACACCTGCATAACCTCTTACAATCAATTGTATTATCCCGATTGATGATACGACCCTCGTCAGCGAGGCAGGGCCTAATTATCATAACTGTGTACATTAGCATAATCGCACGCACTCGCATAAATGAAGACGATTATCTCTCGAATTAGCATCATTTATGCACGTAAATACATCAATTAACATAAATTCGTATAATTACACAATTTTTCAAATTTCATTTAATTTTTATTATTATAATCAAAATTTCAATACCAACATATACAACACACTACACTATACACTACTATACACTACACTACTATACAATACACTATACACTACTATACACTAAACTATACACTACACTATACACTACACTACTATACACTACTATACACTACACTACTATACAATATACAATACACTACACTATACACTACTATACACTACACTATACAGATAGTCCCCGAGTTACGATGGTCCTGCTTACTATATTTCGATCTTACGATGGCGATACGACAAAATTGAAAAATATTTTTAATTTCGCACGGCAGGCAAACGCAGCAGCGTACGAGGTACTACGATACTGTACGTTGGGACGCTGCCGGGATGTACGCGTCTCCCGCCTTTCTATTAAATTCCAGTTCATATAGGTAGACTAAGAATTTACCTTGCTTTTACTTTAAACTTTACTAATAAATACAGAGAGTATATCGTTTATATAGTACGTCCACTGTAAATGGCTCTGTTTTGCTAAATTATCACCATTCTTTAAGACTCCTGGGTAGGCTAGGCCATCTTCGACTTACGATATTTTCGACTTACGATGGGGGAAGTCGTAACGCATCTCCATCCTAAGTAGAGGACTACCCTGTGCTATACACTACACTATACACTACTGTACACTACACCAGTATACACCACTATACGCTCCACTATACATTACACCACTATACACTACCCCATGCACTACACATTGGGCTCCACGGAGGCCCATCGTTACGCGGTAAGTCGTTAACAGGGGGTGGTCGTGGAGAGGGGTTCTATTTGTTCTGCTGCGCCTCTCGAAATCAAAGCAACGCGTGGACCGCTTTGCGCGTTCCCGAGACTCAACGGGACCCCGGCCATGCAACTTGCAGACGCCGCGGAACGAGAAAGCGCCCCCCCCCATCCCCGCATCCCGTACCGGTCGCGCTGGAGCGATGACGGATCGACACGCCGACGTCCCACGGGCACAACTTTATTCGTCTTGGCCGTGGTCGGGCGGACGACACAACGTCTGCAATTGCGCCCGCTCGCGCGGTGATTTGAACCCGGGGAAGAGGATATTATTTTTTGAATCGTAAGAACAATGGGCTAGGTTTGCGAAAATATAAATATGTCGTCAAACCCGCCGCCACCCGACACAGCCGATCAGCAAGGGGTTTGTCACGTAAACAAAGCGTGCCAATTCTTTACCATACTCTCTTTGGTTCTTTCGGTAAAGTCACGTGGTAGGTATAAAATAAAATAAATCACGACGTTTCGGGCGCAACACAAGCGTCCATCATCAGGTGAGGAAAGCCGTGGTCCTGCTGCTGAGGCAGACTGTTTGTGTTGCGCCTGAAACGTCGCGATTTATTTTTCTACCTACGTGACTTTACAGAAAGAACCAGAGCGTTTGGATTAAATGCAGTCACGAAAGCTTCAAATCAATTCTTGACTAGTCGGAGGGTAAACCTACTTCAACATTCACAATTGTAAATGTTGGCTGTGGTTGGGTGGGTTTACCCTAGCCGTCAAACCCGTACGGTTTGCCCCGTATTCTTTTGCAGGGAAATTGAGTTTTCATGTCCATTCGGCGTACAGCCGTTTCGTTACGGGCACAAAAAAAAATCGTCTATTTGTTTGTGTTTCTCCCTTGTGATGGGACTTTATAGGATGAACGTTGAGATTTACAAGGGCACGGGGTGACCAATAAGGCCTGAATTGGTTTGTAATAAGGTAGGGCACTGATAATTAGGGGTTGATAGGTATGGTTTACTCTCCAACACTCTGGTTAGTGCTGTACCAGCAACCAATTGGCACGTTTTGTTTACGTGACAAACCTTACTAATTGGCTGTGTGGTCGGGTGGTGGTGACGGGTGTAACGGCACAGTCATACTTACACGATCTAAACCAAAAACCTTTATTGTATGAATAATATCGGTCGCGAAAGCCTGCTGCACGTTAAACCGAGCAATCATGATTTACCCTTCTAAAAACGTGCCTTTCCCCCCGGAAGTCACAAGGTACCGTACGGAAAAAAGAAAACCTAAATCTAAACCCCATAACAAACAAAAAAATAAAGAAATGTAACTAATACAAAGAAAATTACTTTACCAGGCGAAGCCCACTGAGCTATGCAGCTCTCTCTCAGAAGCGGCCTGGCCGTCGTCACGAATGACAGCTCAACGAAGTGGGCTTATCGTCACGTGGAAATGTGGAGCAGCCAAACAACTTTAAACGCGCGGTGACGTCGATTCTAAATGTGGAGGGGAAAACCGGAGGACCCGGAGAAAAATCCACGCGACCACGGGGAGAGAGACACCGCAAACTCCACAAACACAGCGGGCGTCAGGGTCGGGATCGAACCCACGCCCTCCTGTATACCAGGCGAGGTAGTTAACATCTCCTAGCCACCGTGATGATGATGAGAGAGAGAGAGACACCGCAAACTCCGCAAACACAGCGGGCGTCAGGGTCGGGATTGAACCCACGACCTCCTGCATACCAGGCGAGGTAATTAACATTTTTTTTAAAGCCACCGTGACGCCCCATAGAAATATAAAAAGCCCTGAAAAATAAACTGCGTCTATGAGCTGGGATTTGAATGAACCGAGGGAGTCGGCGGGGGAGCGAACGTCCGACGGAAGCGAATCCCACGACGAGTGAAGGAGCGGCGGGCACCCATCGTCGTGCAGAGACGCGACCTCGGCGCACACACACACACACGGCTGGGTTATGGGGAGAGCTGTGGTGGAGTGGTGCCTACAGGGGGAGCTGTGGCGGTGTGGTACCTACAGGGGGAGCTGTGGTGGAGTGGTGCCTACAGGTGGAGCTGTGGTGGAGTGGTGCCTACAGGTGGAGCTGTGGTGGAGCGGTACCTACAGGGGGAGCTGTGGTGGAGTGGTGCCTACAGGGGGAGCTGTGGTGGAGTGGTGCCTACAGGTGGAGCTGTGGTGGAGTGGTGGCCTACAGGTGGAGCTGTGGTTTGCGTGGTGGCTACAGGTGGAGCTGTGGTGGAGTGGTGGCCTACAGGTGGAGCTGTGGTGGAGTGGTGGCCTACAGGTGGAGCTGTGGTGGAGTGGTGGCCTACAGGTGGAGCTGTGGTGGAGTGGTGCCTACAGGTGGAGCTGTGGTGGAGTGGTGGCCTACAGATGGAGCTGTGGTGGAGTGGTGCCTACAGGTGGAGCTGTGGTGGAGTGGTGGCCTACAGGTGGAGCTGTGGTTTGCGTGGTGGCTACAGGGAGAGGGGCGCCAGGCCGTGCTGCTGCAGCGTGCGCTTGTGCTTGGCGTGCAGCAGCGCCACGCGGGGTTCCCACGCGGCCTTCGCCGTGTCCAGGCGAGACACGAGGGCGTCCAGCGCCGCCTGAACCGCCACACAACAACAACAACAACAGGTTTAGCCGAGGTGGCGAGATGTTAGCTACCTCGCCCGCCATACAGGAGGTCGTGGGTTCAAACCCAACCCTGACGCCTGTAGCAGAATCAGAATTTTTTTTATATATATACTCTAGAAGGAATCCGATGAGTTATAAAGCTCTTTTTTCACAATGTCCAGTAGGGGCATGGGGTAAGAACGTTACAACAGCAAATTTTCTTGCTGTGGTTTTCACACCTGACGATGATTGCTTGCGTTGCAGTCGAAACGTCGCGAGAATGTTATTGTTTCATATTTTTATTATTTTATTGTTTCCCTTCTACGTGGTGACTTTACCGAAAGAACCGAAAATAACAACAAACAGTTACAAAAATACGATAGTAGTGCAAAGTACAAGAGAGGGAAACAAAACACCCCACACACAAATACAAACAACACTAAATCTATCGCCATCCTAGCAGGCAAAACCCACTAAGCTATCAGCTTATTTTTCAGAAGCGACCTGGCCACAAATGATAGCCACTCAACAAAGTGGCCCATCGTTTGGACATTTATAGCGGCAAAACAATCTAAATAATCTCAACGCGCGTTTCTAAATGTGGAGGGGAAAAACCGGAGGACCCGGAGACAAAATCTATGCGACCACGGAGAGAGACACCGCAAACTCCAAATACAGCAGCAGGCGTTAGGGTCGTGATCAAACCCACGACCTCCTGTAGACCAGGCGAGGTAGTTAACATCTCATAGCCACCGTGATGATGATGAGAGAGAGACACGCAAACTCCAAATATAGAGCAGGCGTTAGGGATCAAACCCACGCCCTCCTGTATACCAGGCGAGGTAGTTAACATCTCATAGCCACCGCGATGATGATGAGACAGAGACACGCAAACTCCAAATATACAGCAGGCGTCAGGGTCGGGGTCGAACCCACGACCTCCTGTATACCAGGCGAGGTAGTTAACATCTCATAGCCACCGTGATGATGATGAGAGAGAGAGAGACACGCAAACTCCAAATATACAGCAGCAGGCGTTAGGGTCGGGATCAAACCCACGCCCTCCTGTATACCAGGCGAGGTAGTTAACATCTAATAGCCACCGTGATGATGATGAGAGAGAGACACGCAAACTCCAGATAGGCAGACATCAGGGTCGGGATCGAACCCCTAACCTCCTGCATACCAGGCAAGGAAAATTACATCACACCACCATGGTGCAGCTTTAGTCAGTAGATATCTTAGTCGATATGTGTGTATTTGTAAGTCCATATGTGTGTGTAGGTCAATGTGTGTGTGAGTCTATGTATGTGTATGTGTGAGTCTATGTATGTGTGTGTGAGTCCATATGTGTGTGTGTGATTCGATGTGTGTGTGTCTAAAGTTGATGTCTGTCTGTGTAAGTCCATATTTGTGTGTGTGTGCGTGTAAGTCGATGTGTTTCTATGTGTGTGGGTCGATGTCTGTGTGTAAGTCGATGTGTGTGTTTGTCTTTTTCGCCCGGGCAACGCCGGGTACTCACCGCTAGTGAAGTATATAAGTTCAAATTGCATGTCTCGAACTCTTACAGCCTCATGTAACTATCCACTACACTACTATACACTACACTACGATATACTACACTATACACTACTATACACTACACTAATATACACGACACTATACACTGCTATACACTACACCATACACTAAACTATATTCTACTATACACGACACTATACACTACACTGTTGCACAGGACACTCCTATACACTACACTGTACACTACACTACACTGTTACAGCCCCACGTCGGCTCCCTGCTATCAGGTAACTCTCTCTATCCCTTTGCACATCCGCAACACTCTAACGTTTAAGACGGACACGTCTCAGGGCCTCCTCTACCTGTGTTGGCTCAGGGCTTTCGAGCAGCCCTGAGCCTGTCTCCGCGCCTCCAAGTTATTGACTCGGCCGCAAAATCTGGCGCGTTACAAATGCCATCATCATTCTCTCTCCCTGTGGTCCGCGTGGATTTCTCTCCGGGTAACTCCGGTTTTCCCCTCCGCAATTGAGGACCATCATCGCCCACGCATTTCGAGTTACTTGGCGTCTGCTATAAATGTCCACGTGATGATGATTATGGTGGTGGTGGTGGTAAGCCGCCATCTCATTGAGCGATCATTAGCCAGGTCGCTTCTGTAAAAGAGAAACATCGGCTCCGTACCTGCTAAAATAGATTTAGTTTAGTTTAGCCATGTTCGAAGGCCACCTTCACGATTTCATTCAGAGTACTTGGCCACTGCTATGAATGGCCACGTGATGATCAGCCACTGCGTCGAGCTATCATTTGCGGGCAGGTCGCTTCTGAAAAAGACCTACACAGCCGAGTGGGGCCTTACCCGGTAAAATAAGAAATAATGTAGTTTTAGTTTAATAACAACAACCGCCGTTCACCACTAAGTGGCGGCGACGTCACCACCACGGCGCTTGTGCCATGCTAGGTGCACACGCACATTTCACATTGCGCAGACGCGTGCGAATGAATGAGTGTTGGTGTATATTAGTATTATTATTATTATGATTGAATATGCAAGGTTTGTCTTATAATAGCTACTTATACTGGTAGGAACCTCCTGGTTACACCACCAGCCCACAGGGGATTATTGTGTCTGTCCGTCCGTCGTGCATGCAAAAATGGGAGGGGTGGGGCTGGGTGGAGAGGGGAGGGTGGGGAGGGGCTGGGTGGGGAGGGGAGGGTGGGGAGGGGCTGGGTGGGGAGGGTGGGGAGGGGCTGGGTGGGGAGGGGTGGGGAGGGTGGGGCTGGGTGGGGGTTGGGAGGGGTGGGAGGGGTGGGGCTGGGTGGGGAGGGGCTGGTCACCCCGTGGTGCCCCCCTTATAAAACTCAACGTTTAACCTTGTCACGCCGGCTTGTGCCCGCCCTCACAGTCGGGCATATTGTGCGGAATACACCACGTGGTGCCGCTGTTGACCCTGGCCATTGACCGAGCAACCCAACGTTCCTACCAGCTCCCTCCGCAGGAATGTGTTTAGGTAACCTCATAAGCCAATCTTTAAAACTGGCCATCAGCTAACGTTTTTTCAAATGTTATTCTCATCAGGTCCCATGAAAATGTATGCATATATATGAGTATACGTACGAGTGTATGAGTGAATGAGTATACGTAGGCGAGTATGTGAGAGTGTGCGGAGCGGTAGTGTCGCAAAGGCGGCCGGGCGTGGTGCTGGCCACCCACCCCCTCGTGTGCCGTGCCGGCCTTTATAGGTGCTCGCTAACCGCACTTGCCCCAACAGTCTGTTGAGGCTATATGGGGGATCTTTGTATACGACTGAGTGTGTATACGAGTGTGTATAAGAACGAGTGTGTCTAAGAATGTCCATATGAGTGAGTGTGTATGAGTGAGTGAGTATGAGTGAGTGCGTATGAGTGAGTATGAGTGAGTATGAGTGAGTGTGTATGCGTGAGTGAGTGTGTATGAGTGAGTGTATGAGTGAGTGTGTATGAGTGAGTGAGTGTGTATGAGTGAGTGAGACTATGGGTGATTGAGTATGAGTGAGTGAGTGTGTATGAGTGAGTGAGAGTGAGTGTGTATGAGTGAGTGTGTATGAGTGAGTGTGTATGAGTGAGTGTGTATGACTGAGTGAGTGTGTAGGAATGAGTGAGTATGAGTGAGTGTGTATGAGTGAGTGAGTATGAGTGAGTGTGTATGAGTGAGTGTGTATGACTGAGTGTGTATGAGTGTGTATGACTGAGTGAGTGTGCATGAATGAGTGAGTATGAGTGAGTGAGTATGATTGAGTGAGTAAGAGTGAGTGTGTATGAGTGAGTGTGTGTGACTGAGTTAGTATGAGTGAGTAAGAGTGAGTGTGTATGAGTGAGTGTGTATGAGTGAGTGTGTATGACTGAGTGAGTGAGTATGAGTGAGTGAGTATGAGTGAGTGAGTAAGAGTGTGTATGACTGAGTGAGTGTGTATGAGTGAGTATGAGTGAGTAAGAGTGAGTGTATATGAGTGAGTGTGTATGAGTGAGTGTGTATGAGTGTATATGAGTGAGTGTGTAAGAGTGAGTGTATAAGAGTGAGTGTATATGAGTGAGTGTGTGTGTGTTCTCACGTGGAAAGCTCTCTCGTACTCCTCCTCCATGAGTTCCATTTTGTCCTGGAGCTCCGTCTGCAGCAGTAGCTTCTCCCGGGAGAGTTTCTCTCTCTCCGCGCGCTCCTCCCTCACACTGCGTTGACTCTCCTCTATCACACACACACACGTATACACACACACGTGTATACACACACACACGTGTGTACACACACACAAATAAGGACAAAGATCCCCCGTGTAGCCTTAACAGACTGCTGGGGCAAGTGCTGTTCGCGAGCACCACCTTTGAAGGCCGGAACGGCACACGAGGGGGTGGGTGACCAGCACCACACCCGGCCGCCTTTGTCTCCCCAGTGGCGATGTTTTTTTTTTTATACACCGCACCAAGTACTCATTTGAGGCTGAATCGACCTAGGAGAGGCCCAGATAATCGTCACCGGTGTTGGCCGTGAGCGGAAATCGCCGGCTTCGATGCGCAGCGAAGCGCTGACCGCTGCGCTCCACCGAGACACCGTGCACAGGGCACGTTTGTGTCGGGGTGGTTGACTGTGCGAGTGATTCCGCGTGTGAATCACTGAGCGGGAGTGCTGTGTGGGTGTGCGTCGGTGAGGGCAACGACGCTGACGCCGCCGTTATCTCTCTTTGACGTTCCTGGCGACGCCGGCGAGAGTGGCCGCGGCCGCTGTTGCGAGTGCGGCTGCCGCTACTGCGGTGGCTGGGAGATGTTAACCGCCTCGCCTGGTCTACGGGAGGTCGTGGCTTCCGATCCCGACCCAGACGGCTGCTGAACATTTGGAGTTTGCGGTGTCTCTCTCTCATCATCACCACGGTGGCTGGGAGATGTTAACCGCCTCGCCTGGTCTACGGGAGGTCGTGGGTTCGATCCTGACCCCGACGCCTGCTGCTGCTGTATATTTGGAGTTTGAATGTCTCTCCCTCTCTCATCATAATCATGGTGGCTAGGAGATGTTAACCGCCTTGCCTTGTCTACGGGAGGTCGTGGGTTCGATCCTGACCCCGACGCCTGCTGCTGCTGCTGTATATTTGGAGTTTGAATGTCTCTACCTCTCTCATCATAATCATGGTGGCTAGGAGATGTTAACTACCTCGCCTGGTCTACGGGAGGTCGTGGCTTCCGATCCCGACCCAGACGTCTGCTGAACATTTGGAGTTTGCGTGTGTCTCTCTCTCATCATCACCACGGTGGCTGGGAGATGTTAACTACCTCGCCTGGTATACAGGAGGTTGTGGCTTCCGATCCCAACCCTGACGCCTGCTGCTGCTGCTGCTGTATATTTGGAGTTTGTGTGTCTCTCTCTCCCCGTGGTCGCGTGGATTGTTCTCCGGGTCCTCCGGCTTTTCCCTCCACATTAAGAATCAACGTCGACATTTCCACCGCTGGTTTAGAGTTCATTTGAGCAGAAAACATCCGACTCAGTTTCTGACTTCTTGCTGACGCTGCCGTGGGTGTTACCGCTGGCGATTAATCTGCTGATGCTGCTACTGTTGCTGCTACTAACGTTGATAACAATGCTCCCGTTGCTACTGCTACTGTTCGCTCAGCGAACGTGGCTTCCACCCCCTACTCCTGGAGCCTGTGACGACGGTGATGAGGATGACGACGACGACAATGGTACCACCACTGTTTAAACTGAACTGTGAAACACTTTGTGTTATTTTACCAGGCAAGGCCCCACCGAGTTGCACAGCTCTTCTTCAGAGGCGACGTTGGCTGTCGCAAACGACAGCTCAAGGGAAGTTGCCGGCTCATCATCGCGTGGAGATCTCGTGCAGCTAAATACCATGAACGCGCGTTGCCGATCCCGAACGTGGAGGGGAAAAACGGGGACGGCCTGGAGAAAGATCCACGCGACCACGTGGAGGGAGACATGCAAACTCCAAATAAACAGGCATCGAACCCACGACCTCTTGCATACCAGCGGAGGTAGTAAACATCTCGCCACTGTGGCACTCATAAATCATTATTATTATTATTAAAATGCCAACATGAACCTGGCATCGTCAGGATCAGGATGGAACCCACGACCTCCTGTACACCAGGCGAGGTATTTAACATCTCCTAGCCACCGCGGCGCCCTTTCAAATCATTGCTGCTACAGGTATCCTGCAGTGTGTCGCTGTGTCCGCGTACCCAGCTGGCTCCGCAGGTACTGCACGTCCGACTCCAGCTGCCGCACGCGTAGAGACAGGTCGCCGTGCATCGTCTTGTACTGACGCGTGAGCTCTGTCGGTGAGACGCACAAACGCACGGCGGTGACGCGGTGCACGGCGGCGGCGGCGGCGGCGGCGGTGGCGGGACGCGCCGTGAAGTTCACAAGGTCTTGCGCGTAACCTCGGTGTGACCGGGCGATGGCTCAGTGAGACCAAGGATCAGTGCGGTACTTCACTCAGCCTTGCTGCACTGCAGGGTAGCGATTAAGTGTCGTGTGATGTACCGTGGTGTAGCGCAGTGTGGATTGACGAGGTGGAGTGCAGCACAGACCAGAACTGACGGCATTCTCTTCCTCTTTCTTCTCCTCCAGTTCCGTCTCCAATTGCGACGCTTTGCCTCTCCACGTCTCCCTCCCAAACTCTGCTCTCCTACAACCCTCCCTCTGCAATGCTGCAACAACAGCAACAACAACAACAGCAACAACAACAACAGCAACAACAACAGCAGCAGCAGCACAGATGGTAGCGGTTAGTGACAGTAATGCGACACGGTGGCTAGGAGATGTCAACAACCTCGCCTGGTCTACAGGAGGTCGTGGCTTCGATCCCGACCCTGACGCCTGCTGCTGCTGTATATTTGGAGTTTGCGTGTCTCTCTCATCATCATCATCATCACGGTGGCTAGGAGATGTCAACAACCTCGCCTGGTATACAGGAGGTCGTGGATTCGATCCCGACCCTGACGCCTGCTGCTGTATATTTGGAGTTTGTGTGTCTCTCTCTCATCATCATCATCACGGTGGCTAGGAGATGTCAACAACCTCGCCTGGTCTACAGGAGGTCGTGGATTCGATCCCGAACCTGACACCTGCTGCTGTATATTTGGAGTTTGCGGTGTGCATCTCTCTCGCTCTCTCTCTCGCTCTCCTCGTTGTCGCGTTAAATTTTCTCCGGGTCCTCCACGGGTTTTCCCCTCCACATTTAGAATCAACATCGCCAAGCGTTCAGGGTAATCGGCTGCCGGAAATTTCCACGTGACGGTAAGCCACGTCGTTGAGCTATCATCTGCGACAGCCAAGTTCGCCGCCTGAAAACGAACTCGGTAGCTCGGCGTGGGGCCTCACCTGGTAAAATAAAAAATAGTTTCGTTTTACGGATACGGCGGCCGTGCCAAACTCGGGACGCAACACTGAGGCTACGTGGCGAGGCTGTTCGCGGCTTACTGTTGGGGGTGGGGGTCAAGCCGGACGTAGGTACACGCGCGCGTTCACGCGCATCGGCACAGCGTTCGCGCACGGGGGGGCCCGCCATCGTAACGCCATCGCTGTTGTGCGGAGGTCTACACCGGCACGAGGGAGTTGCGTTCCTGCAGCCACATCCGTCGTGAACAGGCGTCGTGCGGCGCTTTGCGTGTGCGCGTGTGTTGGGTGATTTGTTTTTACCTTTCTTGTACGTTGCGCTCCGATCGCGTTTTTGTATTGTGCTTGTTGTTGTGACTCTCCTGCCCCGTGCCCGGTCTGGACATCCGCGAATAAGAGCTTTACAGCTCATCGGACTCCGTCAGCATGAATAAAATATTCCGATTTCAGGCGCACTTCTGCGGCCGTCTGGGACGCCCTTGCTGGCGATGTTAGGAAGCCGCTGGGGACACTGGTAAATCATTCCGATCGAAAGCTCATTTCTTTAGAACTGCTTTTCCTGTTAAGTTTGTTGCCCTTGCCGCGAGCGTCCGAAGAGCGCGGCTGGCGACGTACGGTTACGGGACAAGGTCGGCATACACAGGCGCGTCGTTTTAAACATTCTCCCTTACATCTGGTGGCTCGACGGGAATTTCCCAAGCCTCCGATGGACCGAACGCGTTGCCAAAGGCGGACGGGGGCTGCTGTGTCGCCATCCTTACCCAGGCGGTCTTTCAAAATCTCCACCTCCCGTCGCGAACGTTCAAACTTCTCCTCGGTGGGATCTGCAACAGAACCACGACACGCTTTCTCAGCCTCTGGGTCCACACTGCAACGCGTGACGATATGTTAACTACCCCGCCTGGTATGCAAGAGGTCGCGGGTTCGATCCCGACCCTGACTGACGAAGCTTGTATATTTTGAGTTTGCGGCGTCTCTCTCTCTCTCCCCTGTGGTCGTGGTGGATTTTTCTCCGTTTTTTCACCCCTCCACATTGAGAATCAACGTCGGGCGTCTTGGAACATTCGGCAATAATGCGCCACGCCTCGTTGGGCTATCATTTGTGATCGCCAGGTCGCGTCTGACAAAGAGCGAAACACTGTAGCTCAGTGGGCCTGACCTGGTGAAATGAAAATAGTTTAAGTTTAGTTTAAGTTTCACGTGCACCTCAGTTACATTCATTCGCCTGCTCACCGATGATGTGCCCGTACCGGCCATGCCGTATTGTCCATTGCACGGCCATTTTTGTCTAATCCACAGCTGGATGAAGGCCTCCCCCCCCCCCTCCCCCCCATCTTGTGCGGGTCTAATTAGTTAATCATGATTTGAAGTTTTCGTGACTGCACTGCAGAGAATTGTTTCTTGCTGTGCTTGTCCCACCTGCCATCTACATCTGCAGAACGTGAAGAACCAGTGGCATCTACATCTATAGAACGTGAAGAACCAGTGGCATCTACATCTACAGAACATGAAGAACCTGTGGCATCTACATCTGCAGAACATGGAGAACCAGTGGCATATACATCTGCAGAACATAAAGAACCAGTGGCATCTACATCTGCAGTACATGGAGAACCAGTGGCATCTACATCTGCATAACATGAAGAAACAGTAGCATCTACATCTACAGGAGATTATACAACTTTTAAAGCCATTCCCCGTGTTTAGTGTACACGCCATACAACATGTTTGGAATCGACAGAAGTACAAATCGACTCACGAACAGACCTCTACAACCTAACTCGTTCGTAAGTAGAGGAGTGCCTCTAATCCGGAGAATACGTGGAACGAATTAATTGTCGGCATGGTCAATCCACTGCTGGATGATGCAATCCCTCCCCAGGCCGGCTACCATCTCTCGCGATCATGAGCCGCCGATAATTTTAAATACGGATATGAAAACTTGATGCAGGGCTCAACTTTGGTGGAGCGGTGGTGTGGTGGTTAACGCACAGTGCTAACCCGACCGATGCGGTTTCCCGCTCACGGCTGACATCAGTGGGCGAGTGAGATATCTGACTGAGTTATCCGAGTGAGACATCTGAGCGAGACGTCTGAACCTTCACCAAACCCGCATTGGCGACCGGTCAATCGCGCAGCAGAAGTGGCTTGCGGCTTGTGGCTAACCGTCGAACAAAGGCAGTTACCGCATCGCGCGGTTTCAGATGTTACATACACTACACTATACACTACACTACTATAGACGATTATACACCACACTATACACTACAATACACTGCACTATTATAAACTATACTACTATACTACGCTATACACTACCTTTTTGGCTAGCCGTCGAACAAAGGCAGTCACCGCATCGCGCAGTTTCAGATGTTGCATACACTACACTATACACTACACTACTATAGACGATTATACACCACACTATATACTACTATACACTGCACTATTATAAACTATACTACTATACTACGCTATACACTACCTTTTTGGCTAGCCGTCGAACAAAGGCAGTCACCGCATCGCGCGGTTTCAGATGTTACATACACTACACTATACACTACACTACTATAGACGATTATACACCACACTATACACTACTATATTATAAACTATACTACTATACTACGCTATACACTACCTTTTTGGCTGACCGTCGAACAGAGGCGGTCACCGCATCGCGCGGTTTCAGATGTTACATACACTACACGATACACTACACTACTATAGACGATTATACACCACACTATACACTGCATTATTATAAACTATACTACTATACTACGCTATACACTACCTTTTTGGCTAGCCGTCGAACAAAGTCGGTCACCGCATCGCGCGGCGCTATCGGATGCGCTTCTGCGACCGTCTGGAACGCGCTCTTCCTTCCAAATATTAGGAAGCTACGCTGCGCTTTTGCACCATCTAGATTGGTGGTTCTTCGACTTTACTTCGGCCCGCACCACTTTGGTTCTCAAAAAGGGCTTCTCGCACCCCAGGGGACGCAGGCTACAGTAAAGGTTAAGAACCACTCATCTAGATTTACAAACTCATTTCGTTCCAACTTGGTTGTTGTTGTTGTGTTTAGTTTGTGGTCCTTCCGCCCGCACCTCCGATGAGCACGGTTGACGATGTAAGGGTGGTGCGGAAGAAGATCAGCATACATACTTAGCACGGTTTACTAAGTACGGTGTGAAAGAAGTTCAACATACTTAGCACGGTTCACTAAGTACGGTGTGAAAGAAGTTCAACATACTTAGCACGGTTTACTAAGTACGGTGTGAAAGACGTTCAACATACATAGCACGGTTTACTAAGTACGGTGTGAAAGAAGTTAAACACACATAGCACGGTTCACTAAGTACGGTGTGAAAGAAGTTCAACATACATAGCACGGTTTACTAAGTACGGTGTGAAAGAAGTTCAACATACATAGCACGGTTTACTAAGTACGGTGTGAAAGAAGTTCAACATACATAGCACGGTTTACTAGGTACGGTGTGAAAGACGTTCAACATACATAGCACGGTTTACTAAGTACGGTGTGAAAGAAGTTAAACACACATAGCACGGTTTACTAAGTACGGTGTGAAAGAAGTTAAACATACATGGCACGGTTCACTAGGTACGGTGTGAAAGACGTTCAACATACATAGCACGGTTTACTAAGTACGGTGTGAAAGAAGTTAAACTTACATAGCACGGTTCACTAAGTACGGTGTGAAAGAAGTTAAACTTACATAGCACGGTTCACTAAGTACGGTGTGAAAGAAGTTTAACATACACGGCACGGTTTACTAAGTACGGTGTGAAAGAAGTTAAACATACATGGCACGGTTTACTAAGTACGGTGTGAAAGACGTTCAACATACATAGCACGGTTCACTAAGTACGGTGTTAAAGAAGTTCAACATACATAGCACGGTTCACTAAGTACGGTGTTAAAGAAGTTCAACATACATAGCACGGTTTACTAAGTACGGTGTTAACGAAGTTCAACATACATAGCACGGTTCACTAAGTACGGTGTGAAAGAAGTTAAACATACATGGCACGGTTTACTAAGTACGGTGTTAACGAAGTTCAACATACATAGCACGGTTCACTAGGTACGGTGTGAAAGAAGTTAAACATACCTAGCACGGTTTACTAAGTACGGTGTGAAAGAAGTTCAACATACATAGCATGGTTTACTAAGTACGGTGTGAAAGAAGTTAAACATACATAGCACGGTTTACTAAGTACGGTGTGAAAGAAGTTCAACATACATAGCACGGTTCACTAAGTACGGTGTGAAAGAAGTTAAATATACATAGCACGGTTTACTAAGTACGGTGTGAAAGAAAGTTAACATACATAGCACGGTTTACTAAGTACGGTGTGAAAGAAGTTAAACATACATAGCACGGTTTACTAAGTACGGTGTTAAAGAAGTTAAATATACATAGCACGGTTTACTAAGTACGGTGTGAAAGAAGTTCAACATACATGGCACGGTTCACTAAGTACGGTGTGAAAGAAGTTAAACACACCTAGCACGGTTCACTAAGTACGGTGTGAAAGAAGTTCAACATACATAGCACGGTTCACTAAGTACGGTGTGAAAGAAGTTAAATATACATAGCACGGTTTACTAAGTACGGTGTGAAAGAAGTTAAACATACATAGCACGGTTTACTAAGTACGGTGTGAAAGAAGTTCAACATACATAGCATTACTAGGTACGGTGTGAAAGAAGTTCAACATACATAGCACGGTTTACTAAGTACGGTGTGAAAGAAGTTAAACATACATGGCACGGTTCACTGAGTACGGTGTTAAAGAAGTTCAGCATACATAGCACGGTTTACTAAGTACGGTGTGAAAGAAGTTAAACATACATAGCACGGTTTACTAAGTACGGTGTGAAATAAGTTAAACACACATAGCACGGTTTACTAAGTACGGTGTGAAAGAAGTTAAACATACATAGCACGGTTTACTAAGTACGGTGTGAAAGAAGTTAAACATACATGGCACGGTTCACTGAGTACGGTGTGAAATAAGTTAAATATACATAGCACGGTTTACTAAGTACGGTGTTAAAGAAGTTCAACATACATGGCACGGTTCACTAAGTACGGTGTGAAAGAAGTTAAATATATATATAGCACGGTTCACTAAGTACGGTGTGAAAGAAGTTCAACATACATAGCACGGTTCACTAGGTACGGTGTGAAAGAAGTTCAACATACATAGCACGGTTCACTAGGTACGGTGTTAAAGAAGTTCAACATACATAGCACGGTTCACTAAGTACGGTGTTAAAGAAGTTCAACATACATAGCACGGTTTACTAAGTACGGTGTGAAAGAAGTTAAACATACATGGCACGGTTCACTAAGTACGGTGCGAAAGAAGTTAAACATACATAGCACGGTTTACTAAGTACGGTGTGAAAGAAGTTAAATATACATAGCACGGTTTACTAAGTACGGTGTGAAAGAAGTTCAACATACATAGCACGGTTCACTAAGTACGGTGTGAAAGAAGTTAAACATACATAGCACGGTTCACTAAGTACGGTGTGAAAGAAGTTCAACATACACGGCACGGTTTACTGAGTACGGTGTGAAAGAAGTTCAACATACATAGCACGGTTCACTAAGTACGGTGTGAAAGAAGTTAAATATACATAGCACGGTTTACTAAGTACGGTGTGAAAGAAGTTCAACATACATAGCACGGTTCACTAAGTACGGTGTGAAAGAAGTTAAACATACATAGCACGGTTCACTAAGTACGGTGTGAAAGAAGTTCAACATACACGGCACGGTTTACTGAGTACGGTGTGAAAGAAGTTAAATATAGCACGGTTCACCGAGTACGGTGTGAAAGAAGTTCAACATACATAGCACGGTTCACTAAGTACGGTGTGAAAGAAGTTAAATATACATAGCACGGTTTACTAAGTACGGTGTGAAAGAAAGTTAACATACATAGCACGGTTTACTAAGTACGGTGTGAAAGAAGTTAAACATACATAGCACGGTTTACTAAGTACGGTGTGAAAGAAGTTAAATATACATAGCACGGTTTACTAGGTACGGTGTGAAAGACGTTCAACATACATAGCACGGTTTACTAAGTACGGTGTGAAAGAAGTTAAATATACATAGCACGGTTCACTAAGTACGGTGTGAAAGAAGTTAAACATACATAGCACGGTTCACTAAGTACGGTGTGAAAGAAGTTAAACATACATAGCACGGTTGAACACCAAATCATAATTAATCGTAAATAAACCTGATGCCTTCTCCGTATTCTTCTTGCCCTTTCCCCCCTTGCCCTTCTTCTTCTTCTTGGGAGGCATTATTTTAAACGAGGGGGGGCAAAGTTAAAGAAGCTCACAGACACCAAATTAATGCAATCAAAGTGACGCACAAAGGCTGCAGATTGCAAAGGACTAGGCCCCAGGCGTCGATGCGTTGCCACGGGCAACCGTGAACAAATCTCGCGATAACTCGAGCGGGGGCGTGGCCGGAAGGGGCGAAAACAACGCGGCGAGTCTCGCGAGATTTCACGCGAGATTCTTAGGCTTCCGTTGTTGCACAGCTAAGTCAAGATTGTTGCGTATCTGTTAAGGGGCCGTCCACAAATGACGTCACGCACCTACGGGGGTGGGGTAAGACATTTGTGGCGATGTGTGACGACGGGGGGGGGCGGAGTTGAGAAATGTGACGTCACATCAAGTTGCGTAACTTTAAATGAATATAGAATTTTGATTTAAAGCTTTCGTGACTGCAGGGATTCATATTCTTGGTTCAATCGGTAAAGTCACCACGTAGAAGGGAAACAATAAAATAATAAAAATAATATAAAACAATATTGTTTCCTTCGGTAAAGTCACCACGTAGAAGGGAAACAATAAAATAATAAATATATAAAACAATAAAATGCTCACGACGTTTCGACTGCAACACAAGAAATCATCATCAGGTGTGTAGAAGGGAAACAATAAAATAATAAGAAATATAAAACAATAAAATTATCACGATGTTTCGACTGCAACACAAGCAATCATCATCAGGTGTGTAGAAGGGAAACAATGAAATAATACAAAATATAAAACAATAAAATTATCACGACGTTTCGACTGCAACACAAGCAATCATCATCAGGTGTGTAGAAGGGAAACAATAAAATAATAAAAATGAAAAACAATTCTCACGACGTTTCGACTGCAACACAAACAATCATCATCAGGTGTGTAGAAGGGAAACAATAAATATTAAAAATATGAAACAATAAAATGATCACAACGTTTCGACTGCAACACAAGCAATCATCATCAGGTGTGTAGAAGGGAAACAATAAAATAATAAAAATAAAAACAATTCTCACGACGTTTCGACTGCAACACAAGCAATCATCATCAGGTGTGCAGAAGGGAAACAATAAAATAATAAAAATATAAAACAATAAAATTTTCACGACGTTTCGACTGGTCTCATTTTAGAGTTCTAGCCTGTATATTTTTTTTACAAAGTTAAATGCAACTCACTCTGCAATCACGCCACTACGCGGCGGTGACGTGATATCGCGGGCGCTTTGTGCCAGGCTAGGTGCGCGCTGAGGACCACGTGAAGTGTCGAAGGCTCGCCCCTGGCAGGAGTTCACGGGACCAAAGCCTGCACGTGTCCATGGGTTGGCTGACTGAGACGAATGGCAGACGCAACCACCCCCAAGGGTGGGAAAAAAACCCCGATTTTTTCTTTTTGCCTGACAAATCGGGTTATTGGTTTTAATGGAATTAAACCCGACTTTGCCGATTCAAACCTGGTTTTATTATCGACGTCTCGTGCACACTTCAATCCTGTTCTAGATTCAAAGCTTTCGTGACTGCAAGGATCCATACTCTTTGGTTCTATTAGCATTTGATTGGCCGACTTAGCATGATGAACGGTGTAGAGGTGGTGTACATGCGGGTGCACATGCCGGTTTTACTTCAATCCTGCTCCTCGTCGTCTTCGTCGTCGCTCTCGGTGTTGTCGCCGGGCGCCGGGTAGTCGTGGAACGCGTTGAGCTTCGACTCAACGAAGACGACCTTCCCGACTGTGCCGGGCGCCAGGCCGTTCCTCAACTCTGGAATGGACGAATCCCCCATCGTCGAGAAGTTCCGCTCAGACGCAGCGGCGGCGGGCGGTCGACGTGGCCATGCTGAACAGTTCGATGGCTGATCTTCTGGATCGCGGGACAGTCGCTGCCGTCGGTCAGCCAACCGCTCTAGCGAAGGGGGTCTTCCTCCGCTCGGCCAGGAGCTGAAAGCGAAAGGATTTGCGCGTCTTCTCCTTCGTCGCCGCGATCTTGAACTGTGTGTACTCCAAGTAGAGCTGCTCCTTGCACAGGTTGTCGGCTGGCTGGGCGCGCACGGCGGCTGAGCCCGGGCCTCGGCCCGAACGCCGCTAATGGGGGCCTGCCACTGAAATCCCGACTTAACTTTAATAAAACCGAATAAAACCGGATTTGGGCAGGATCAAGGTGTTCCGGTTTTATATAAAAAAAAAACAACGATTAAAACCCGAATGAATGAAACCGGGCCGTGCCAGCCTTGAACCACCCACCCATTCACTCAGTCATTCACCCAGAGCACTCTCACTGAGTTTAAACAAAATTAACTTGGAAAATTCAGCCAGTCTAAGTAAGGTAAATGCGCATAAATACCCCCACCCTATACGGTTTTCTCGGGGCTCATTTAAGACACCCAAGGTTCGTTGAACCGGACTTTTAGGCACCTTTATAGCACTACGGGATCCTTTATAGCACTACAGAATCCTTTATAGCACTACACGATCCTTTATAGCACTACATGATTCTTTATAACACTACAGGACCCTTTATAGCACTACATGATCGTTTATAACACTACACGATTCTTTATAACACTACATAACCCTTTATAGCACTACAGGATCCTTTATAACACTACAGGATCCTTTATACCACTACAGGATCCTTTATAACACTACACGATCCTTTATAGCACTACAGGATCCTTTATAACACTACATGATCATTTATAGCACTAAAGGATCCTTTATAGCACTACATGATCCTTTATAGCACTACACGATCCTTTATAACACTACAGGATCCTTTATAGCACTACAGAATACTTTATAGTACTACAGGACCCTTTATAGCACGACAGGATCCTTTATAACTACAGGATCCTTTATAGCACTACAGAAACCTTTATATCACTACAGGATCCTTTATAACACTACAGGATCCTTTATAACACGACATGATCCTTCATAACACTACAGGACCCTTTATAGCACTACAGAATCCTTTATAGCACTACATGATCCTTTATAGCAGTACATAATCCTTTATAACACTACAGGATCCTTTATAGCACTACAGGACCCTTTATAGCACTACATGATCCTTTATAGCACTATACGATCCTTTATAGCACTACAGGATCCTTTATAGCACTACATGATCCTTTATAACACTACATGATCATTTATAACACTACAGGATCCTTTATAGCACTATATGATCCTTTATGACACTACAGGACCCTTTATGGCACTACATGATCCTTTATAACACTAAAGAATCCTTTATAGCACTACAGACTTCGGCAGGTGCCTTGGGGGCCGTCCATAAATGACGTCACGCACCTGGGGGTTGAGAAATGTGACGTAAAATCAAAATGCGCAACTTTAAATAAATACAGACAACACGTTCTACTTAATTAAATAGACATTTTAATAAATGTTTTCTCCTACAACATCAGAGTGCAGCGCCACATTAAATACACACTACAATGACAATATATTTAGTTTTTTCGGTAAAGTCACGTTGAAGAGAAACAACAAAATAATAAAATATATAAAACAATTAAAAATTCTCACGACGTTTCGACCATAACTCAAACGGTCGTCTTCAGGTGTGTTGGTTCGCATACATTTATTTTTAAACGGCGCATTTATTTACTTATTTTAAAAAAACGTTAGCACCACGCGCAACGATTTGGCAGTTTACCCAGGACTAGTCCATCTATATTCTGAAAAGAGGAGGGGGGAGACGAAATTTTTTATAATGTATGCTGTCTGAAAGCCACTGTAAGCGTGAACAATCAATTAAGACCTGAAATGGTTTATCAAATCTTTCCAATGATTGCTAAGATAGAATCCATCTTCTCGGTTGAAATTGTCTCTGTGCTTGTATATGTGGATAGCCTCATGAACGAATCTCTCATGGAAGCCAGATGGCTTACAAAGAACCTCTGTCTTGGAAAAGTCAATGGCATGTGAGCCTACTGAATTAGAACAATGATCTGCCACGGCCGAGGTGTTGGTCCTACCGTGTTTAAGGTCTGCTTTGTGTTCACACAAACACCTCGGCCGTGGCAGATCATTGTTCTAATTCAGTAGGCTCACATGCCATTGACTTTTCCAAGACAGAGGTTCTTTGTAAGCCATCTGGCTTCCATGAGAGATTCGTTCATGAGGCTATCCACATATACAAGCACAGAGACAATTTCAACCGAGAAGATGGATTCTATCTTAGCAATCATTGGAAAGATTTGATAAACCATTTCAGGTCTTAATTGATTGTTCACGCTTACAGTGGCTTTCAGACAGCATACATTATAAAAAATTTCGTCTCCCCCCTCCTCTTTTCAGAATATAGATGGACTAGTCCTGGGTAAACTGTCAAATCGTTGCGCGTGGCGCTAACGTTTTTTTTATAAATAAATAAATACGCCGTTTAAAAATAAATTTATGCGAACCAACACACCTGAAGACGACCGTTTGAGTTATGGTCGAAACGTCGTGAGAATTTTTAATTGTTTTATATATATTTGATTATTTTGTTGTTTCTCTTCAACGTGACTTTACCGAAAAAACTAAGAATATGAATTACTGTAGTCACGAAAGCTTTAAATCAAATACAATGACAATAGTTTAAAGCGATTTGAAGCATGTTTTATTTTTGCGGGGTGGGTGGGGGGCAGAGCTTTGTGACGTCATATTTGAGGGGGGGTCTGACTTTGTGTGACGCCGTGTGACGAGGGGGGGGGGGTCAAAAATCGTCCAAAATCGCGTGACGTCATTTATCAACGGCCACTTGATCCAGCAGTGGATTTACCATGGGCGATGAAATAACGATAAGAACGCTTATTATTGCGGAACCCAATGCAATTATTTTTTAATTGGAAATCATTTTGAGCCCAAAGAAATATAATATACAGGCAGCACCCGACATGACAAGCCCCGCCTACATTGTGACGTCATAAAACATCTCCCGCTAATTAGCCGTAAGCGCCGCCCATTAACTAATGACGTCACGTAAAGGTTGCGCCGACACAATGACGTCACTAGGCCAAAAACTCCCCCCCTTAGGTTTTGGAAAAAGTCCCGCCACAACGCGATGACGTCACTAAACGTGATTACCTCACTAGTTACGCGATCTCATTTTACACCCGATGACGTCACTAGACAGGCGATGTCGCCACTTGACACACGATGACGTCATTTGACGTCAAGCAGATGCACCCTCTCCCCCCCTCAAAAAAATAACAGACGATGACGCAATCACCGACCAGCTCCCTGACGTCGCCGAAAGCACGTGTCGTGACGTATAGCTACGGCGGCCCGCTCGTAATGATGAGTGGTTGTTTTTCTTTCCGAAAAGCGATTTAAATATAGCGGTGCCCACATATATTAACAAGGCATTCAGAATATTCTTGGCTCTTTCGGTAAAGTCACGTTGAAGGGAAACAATAAAATATATATAAAAAAATTCTCACGACGTTTCGACCATAACACAAACGGTCATCATCAGGTGTGAAAACCAACGTGCAAGAAACATTTGAAAGAAGTGGTGGTTTGTATTTTTTTTTAAAACGTTAGCACCACGGATAGCGATTTGACAGTTTGTTTAGAAGGACTAGTCCATCTATGTTCGGAAAAGAGGAGGGGGGAGACGAAAAATTAATGTATGCTGTCTGAAAGCCACTGTAAGCGTGAACAATCAATTAAGACCTGAAATGGTTGATCAAATCCTTCCAATGATTGCTAAGCCAGAATCCATCTTCTCGGTTGAAACTGTCTCTGTGTTTGTATATGTGGATAGCCTCATGAACGAATCTCTCATGGTAGCCAGATGGCTTACAAAGAACCTCTGTCTTGGAGAAGTCAATGTCATTCCCTCCTCTTGAGGATCGAGAGACTCAAACCACAGAGGGACAGTGGAGGATTGTGGAACTACAACTCGTGATTTCCAAGTGTGCCTTCCTCCTCTTGAGGATCGAGAGACTCCAACCACAGCCCTGGGACAGTGGAGGATTGTGGAACTACAACTCGTGATTTCCAAGTGTCATTCCCTCCTCTTGAGGATCGAGAGACTCCAACCACAGCCCTGGGACAGTGGAGGATTGTGAGGATTGTGAAACTACAACTCGTGATTTCCAAGTGTCCCTTCCCTCCTCTTGAGGATCGAGAGACTCCAACCACAGCCCTGGGACAGTGGAGGATTGTGGAACTACAACTCGTGATTTCCAAGTGTCATTCCCTCCTCTTGAGGATCGAGAGACTCAAGAGGAGGGAGCTTTGCGCTCGACGAGTCGAACCGATTCCCTACGAAACGTTAAAGGTGACGGGCGCGCGTGTTCCTCGATTCCATCGATTCCTCTCGTGACGCCGTGTTATCAGGGGGTAGGGAATCGTTCGTATTTATTAAAAAATGAATGCCTGATAAATCGATTCCGTAATTGTGCCACTTGGAATCGCTTCGCCTGTTAAGAATTTACATTGAGATACGGGGGTGTGTGTAGAGAATCGATTCAATTTCAACCGTTTCGGCGGATTTCAGAATCGATTCGGCGTTGCAAGTCGGGGGGGGGCTGGAAGGCGGTGTGGGGGGCAGAGAATCGATTCCATTTTAATCGTCTTGATGGTTTGTCGAATCGATTCGGAAGTGCAAATGCGGGTGGGGGCGGCGTGGGGGAGAGAATCGATTCTATTTTAACCGTGTTAGTAGTATGTAGAATCGATTCGTTGATTTTCTGAATCGATGCGTCAGAGCAAGTGGGGGGGTGGTGTGTTGGGGGGGGTGTGGAGGGAATCGATTCATTTTAATCGTGTTCCCGAAATTGTAACATCGATTCGTCGGTGCAAGCGGTGGAGGGTTGGGGGGTGATTCCGTGAAGGCGGAACTGGGCGCGGAAGGGCTGAGGGAGAGGGGGGAGAGAGACACGGGGAGAGACACGGGGAGAGAGACACTGGGACAGAGACACGGGGAGAGACACGGGGAGAGAGACAGGGGGGGGACAGAGACACGGGGAGAGAGACAGGGGGGGACAGAGACACGGGGAGACAGAGACACGGGGGGACAGGGACACGGGGAGAGGGACGGGGAGAGACACGGGGACAGAGACACGGGGACAGAGACACGGGGGGAGAGACGGGGACAGAGACACGGGGGGACAGGGACACGGGGAGAGGGACGGGGAGATACACGGGGACAGAGACACGGGGGGAGAGACACGGGGAGACAGAGCTGAGGGAGAGGGGGACAGAGACACGGGGAGAGACGCGGGGGGAGGGACAGGGAGAGACACGGGGAGAGGGACAGGGAGAGACAGAGACACAGGGAGAGGGACAGGGGGTGAGAGAGAGAGACACGGGGAGAGGGACAGGGGGACAGAGACACGGGGAGACAGAGACACGGGGTGAGAGAGACACGGGGGGAGACAGACACGGGAGGAACCCCGGGAGACACCGCGGGGTGGTTGGGTGACAGCGGAGTGGGTGTACGGGAACGAGACACGGGGGGAGAGACACGGGAGGAGCGACACGGGGGGGGGGGGGAGACCCGTGGAGAGACACGGGGGGGGGAGACACGGGGAGAGACACGGGGAGAGAGACACGGGGGGGGGAGAGACACGTGGAGAGACACGTGGAGAGAGACACGGGGGGGGAGAGACACGGGGGGGGAGAGACACGTGGAGAGACACGGGGGGAGAGACACGTGGAGAGACACGTGGAGAGACACGGGAAGAGAGACACGGGGGGGGGGGAGACACGTGGAGAGACACGGGGAGAGAGACACGGGGGGGGGAGACCCGTGGAGAGACACGGGGGGAGAGACGGGGGGAGACGGAGGGGGGAGACGGAGGGGGTCGAGGGACGAGGGGAGACGCAGAGGGGGAGACGGCGGAGGAGCGAGGGAGCAGGAAGAGGAAGGTAGGAGGAGGAGGAGGTGACACCAGCAGGAAAGGAGTGGGGAGAGAGAGACACAGAGACACACACACAGAGACACACACAGAGACACACAGAGAGACACACAGAGAGATACACACAGAGACACACACAGAGACACAGAGACACACACAGAGACACACATAGAGTTAACGAGACGACGCGGGCGAGTGACTTAACCACAGACTGACTTGGCCACAGACTGACTTAGCCACAGACTGACTTGGCCACAAGGTGACTTAACCACAGACTGACTTGGCCACAAGGTGACTTGGCCACAGACTGACTTAGCCACAGACTGACTTGGCCACAAGGTGACTTGGACACAGACTGACTTGGCCACAGGCTGACTTGGCCACAGGCTGACTTGGCCACAGGGTGACTTAGCCACAGGGTGACTTAGCCACAGACTGACTTGGGCACAGGGTGACTTAGCCACAGACTGACTTGGCAGCAGACTGACTTAGCCATAGGGTGACTTAGCCACAGGGTGACTTAGCCACAAGGTGACTTAGCCACAGGGTGACTTAGCCACACGGTGACGCAGTGAGACGCTGAACCACAACGCGATGGCCGCGTCTCAGAGTGGTGGTGGTGGTAGTAGTGGTGGTAGTGGTGGTGGCGTTGACGGAGCCGGTGGCTTCGGTAGTTCAAGTGGTGGTAGTGGTGGTGGTAGTGGTGGTGGTGGTAGTGGTGGTGGTAGTAGTGGTGGTTGTAGTGGTGGTGGTGGTAGTGGTGGTTATGGTGGTAGTGGTGGTGGTAGTGGTAGTTATGGTGGTAGTAGTGGTGGTTATGGTGGTGGTGGTAGTGGTGGTGGTAGTAGTGGTGGTTATGGTGGTGGTGGTAGTGGTGGTGGTGGTGGTAGTGGTGGTTATGGTGGTGGTGGTAGTGGTGGTGGTGGTGGTAGTGGTGGTTATGGTGGTGGTGGTAGTGGTGGTAGTGGTGGTGGTGGTGGTAGTGGTGGTTATGGTGGTGGTGGTGGTAGCACTTACGGATTGGGTGGCACGAGCAGTAGCTATGCCATAGGCGGTGGTGTCGGTGGTGGTGGTGGTGGTTTTGGTGTCGGCGGTGGTGGTGGTTTTGGTGGTGTCGGTGGTGGTTTTGGTGGTGGTGGTGGTGGTTTTGGTGGTGGTGGTTTTGGTGGCGGTGGCATTGGCGGTGGCACTTACAGCCTCACCTCGGGCACTTCTTGTAACCCAAGCCTCGCGGGCTACAGTGGCGCATCCAGCAGTGGATTTGGAAGTGTCTCCGGTAGCTACATTGGTGGTGGTGGTGGTGGCTGCCTAAGTGGTGTCGGTGGTGGTGGTGCTGCTGCTGCTGGGCATTCTGTCGCTCCGTACGGGAGTAACTTCAGCGCCTCCCCCACTGCTGCTGGTGCTGCTGGTGGTGGTGGTGGTGCTGCTGGTGGTGGTGGTGCTGCTGCTGGTGGTGGTGCTGCTGGTGGTGGTGCTGGTGGTGCTGGTGCTGCGATCATCCTTGGACCCGCCAATGCCATCGCGGCCAATTCCGTGGCGTCTTCTGCCGCCGGCGGCGGTGGTGGTGGTGCCTCGAACTCTCTCAACAACAACAACACCACAGCAGCAACAACAACAACCACCGCCGCCGCCGCCACCTCTACACCCATCAACACCACGGCGAGCAGCAGCAGCAGCAACAACAGCAGCCGACAGCCCAAGAAGTACCGAATCCTGGGACTCTTCGATGCCATCCACGACGCCGTGGGCCCGCCAAGGGCCACGGTGGACAGGCGCACGGTGGAGAAGTCGTGGAAGCTCATGGACAAGGTGGTGAAGGCCTGCCAAGCGCCGCGCTTGCAGCTCAAGAATAGCCCGCCATACATCCTGGACATCCTGCCCGACACCTACCAACACCTGAGGCTCGTGCTGTCCAGGTGATGTGATGGGGGGTGTTGTGGGGGTTGGGGGGTAAGAAGAAGAGGGGGTGTTTGGGGGATGGGTGGAGAGAGTGGTTGGGGTGGGGTGAGTGGTTGGGTTGGTGAGTGAGTGGTTGGGTGAGTGAGTGGTTGGGTTGGTGAGTGAGTGGTTGGTGAGTGAGTGAGTGGTTGGGTGGGTGAGTGGTTGGGTTGGTGAGTGAGTGGTTGGGTTGGTGAGTGAGTGGTTGGGTTGGTGAGTGAGTGGTTGGGTTGGTGAGTGAGTGGTTGGGTGAGTGAGTGAGTGGTTGGGTTGGTGAGTGGTTGGTGAGTGAGTGAGTGGTTGGGTTGGTGAGTGAGTGGTTGGGTTGGTGAGTGAGTGGTTGGGTTGGTGAGTGGTTGGGGTGGGGTGACGGAGTGGTTGGGTAGGTGAGTGAGTAGTTGGGTGGGTGAGTGAGTGGTTGGGTTGGTGAGTGGTTGGGTTGGTGGGTGAGTGAGTGGTTGGGTGAGGTTGGTGAGTGGTTGGGGTGAGTAAGTGGGTTGGTGGGTGAGTGGTTGGGTGGGTGGGTGGTTGGGTTGGTGGGTGAGTGGTTGGGTTGGCGAGTGGTTGGGTTGGTGGGTGAGTGGTTGGGTTGGTGAGTGGTTGGGTGGGTGAGTGAGTGGTTGGGTTGGTGAGTGGTTGGGTGGGTGAGTGAGTGGTTGGGTTGGTGAGTGGTTGGGTGGGTGAGTGAGTGGTTGGTGAGTGAGTGGTTTGGTTGGTGGGTGAGTGAGTGGGTGAGTGAGTGGTTGGGTTGGTGAGTGGTTGGGTTGGTGAGTGAGTGGTTGGGTTGGTGGGTGAGTGGTCGGGTTGGTGAGTGGTTGGGGTGGGGTGAGGGAGTGGTTGGGTAGGTGAGTGAGTAGTTGGGTGGGTGAGTGAGTGGTTGGGTTGGTGGGTGAGTGGTTGGGTTGGTGAGTGAGTGGTTGGGTTGGTGAGTGGTTGGGTTGGTGAGTGAGTGGTTGGGTTGATGAGTGAGTGGTTGGGTTGATGAGTGAGTGGTTGGGTGAGGTTGGTGAGTGGTTGGGTTGGTGGGTGAGTGGTTGGGTTGGTGGGTGAGTGGTTGGGTTGGTGAGTGAGTGGTTGGGTGAGGTTGGTGAGTGGTTGGGGTGAGTGAGTGGGTTGGTGAGTGAGTGGTTGGGTTGGTGAGTGAGTGGTTGGGTGGGTGAGTGAGTGGTTGGGTGGGTGGGTGAGTGAGTGGTTGGGTGAGGTTGGTGAGTGGTTGGGGTGAGTGAGTGGGTTGGTGGGTGAGTGGTTGGGTGGGTGAGTGGTTGGGTGGGTGGGTGGTTGGGTTGGTGAGTGAGTGGTTGGGTTGGTGGGTGAGTGAGTGGTTGGGTTGGTGAGTGAGTGGTTGGGTGGGTGGGTGAATTTAGTGGTTGGGTGGGGTTGGTGAGTGGTTGGGGTGAGTGAGTGGGTTGGTGGGTGAGTGGTTGGGTTAGTGAGTGAGTGAGTGGGTGAGTGAGTGGTTGGGTTGGTGGGTAAGTGGTTGGGTTGGTGGGTGAGTGGTTGGGTTGGTGGGTGAGTGAGTGGGTGAGTGAGTGGTTGGGTTGGTGAGTGAGTGGTTGGGTTGGTGAGTGAGTGGTTGGGTGGGTGGGTGAGTGAGTGGTTGGGTGAGGTTGGTGAGTGGTTGGGGTGAGTGAGTGGGTTGGTGGGTGAGTGGTTGGGTGGTTGGGTTGGTGGGTGAGTGGTTGGTGAGTGAGTGGTTGGGTTGGTGAGTGAGTGGTTGGGTGAGTGAGTGGTTGGGTTGGTGAGTGAGTGGTTGGGTTGGTGAGTGAGTGGTTGGGTTGGTGGGTGAGTGGTTGGGTTGGTGAGTGAGTGGTTGGGTTGATGAGTGAGTGGTTGGGTTGGTGGGTGAGTGGTTGGGTTGGTGAGTGAGTGGGTGAGTGGTTGGGTTGGTGAGTGAGTGGTTGGGTTGGTGAGTGGTTGGGTGGGTGAGTGAGTGGTTGGTGAGTGAGTGGTTTGGTTGGTGGGTGAGTGAGTGGGTGAGTGAGTGGTTGGGTTGGTGAGTGGTTGGGTTGGTGAGTGAGTGGTTGGGTTGGTGGGTGAGTGGTTGGTTTGGTGAGTGGTTGGGGTGGGGTGAGGGAGTGGTTGGGTAGGTGAGTGAGTAGTTGGGTGAGTGAGTGGTTGGGTTGGTGGGTGAGTGGTTGGGTTGGTGAGTGAGTGGTTGGGTGGGTGAGTGAGTGGTTTGGTTGGGTGGGTGAGTGAGTGGTTGGGTGAGGTTGGTGAGTGGTTGGGGTGAGTGAGTGGGTTGGTGAGTGAGTGGTTGGGTTGGTGAGTGAGTGGTTGGGTGGGTGAGTGGTTGGGTGGGTGGGTGGTTGGGTTGGTGGGTGGTTGGGTTGGTGGGTGAGTGGTTGGGTTGGTGAGTGGTTGGGTTGGTGGGTGAGTGAGTGGTTGGGTTGGTGAGTGAGTGGTTGGGTGGGTGAGTGAGTGGTTGGGTGGGTGGGTGAATTTAGTGGTTGGGTGGGGTTGGTGAGTGGTTGGGGTGAGTGAGTGGGTTGGTGGGTGAGTGGTTGGGTGGGTGAGTGAGTGGTTGGGTGGGTGAGTGAGTGGTTGGGTGGGTGGGTGAGTGAGTGGTTGGGTGAGGTTGGTGAGTGGTTGGGGTGAGTGAGTGGGTTGGTGGGTGAGTGGTTGGGTGGGTGGGTGGTTGGGTTGGTGGGTGAGTGGTTGGGTTGGCGAGTGGTTGGGTTGGTGGGTGAGTGAGTGGTTGGTGAGTGAGTGGTTGGGTTGGTGAGTGAGTGGTTGGGTGGGTGAGTGAGTGAGTGGTTGGGTGGGTGAGTGAGTGGTTGGTGAGTGAGTGGTTGGGTTGGTGAGTGAGTGGTTGGGTGGGTGAGTGAGTGGTTGGGTGGGTGGGTGAATTTAGTGGTTGGGTGGGGTTGGTGAGTGGTTGGTGGGTGAGTGGTTGGTGAGTGAGTGGTTGGTGGGTGAGTGGTTGGTGAGTGAGTGGTTGGGTGGGTGAGTGAGTGTTTGGGTGGGTGGGTGAGTGAGTGGTTGGGTGAGGTTGGTGAGTGGTTGGGGTGAGTGAGTGGTTGGGTTGGTGGGTGAGTGAGTGGTTGGGTGAGGTTGGGTGGGTGGGTGAATTTCGTGGTTGGGGTGAGTGGTTGGTTGGAGTGGGATGGGTAAGTGTTTGGGTGAGTGAGTGGTTGGGTTGGTGATTGTCTGGTTGGGTGGGTGGGTGAATTTAATGGTTGGATAGGATGGACGAGTGGTTGGATGGGTGAGTATTTGGGTGAGTGAGTGAGTAGGTGAGTGAGTGTTTGGTAATTGTGTGGTTGGGTGAGTGGATGAATCGAGTGGTTGGTGTGTGAAATGAGAAGTTGGATGGGATGAATGAGTATTTAGGTGAGTGTCTAGGTTGGTGAGGGAGTGGGTGGGTGATTGGCTAGTTTGGTTGGTGATTGTGTGGTTCTGTGGGTGGCTGAAATTAGTGGTTTGGTGGGTTAGCGAGTAAGTGAGCAGCAGGTGAGTGAGTGAGTATTTAGGTGAGTGTCTAGGTTGGTGAGTGAGTGTTTGGGTGAGTGTCTAGGTTGGTGAGTGAGTGGGTGGGTGATTGGCTGGTTTGGTTGGTAATTGTGTGGTTCTGTGGGTGACTGAAATAAGTGGTTGGGTGGGTTAGCGAGTAAGTGAGCAGGTGAGTGAGTTGGTGACATACAACGCCTGAAAAAATAGCTTTTTAATTTTGGAATTATTGGGCTAACCGTCCCAAATGTGGCAGGGCCCTACTGAAAAAAATAAGTCTTGAGACTCGACGAGGCTTGAATGAATTAATGAATGTTATTTTTATTGTTATTAACATCAACGCTTTCCAACCAAGATTGATGGCGTTTATGATTGAGAGCATTTATGATCCGATATGAATGACGATTTCTCTCGAGTGTAAACTTGTAATACTGTTACGGATTCACACGAGAGAAAACCAAGACACCCCCCCCCCCGTATAGCCACCACGCTCGGCCGCCTTTGTCTTCCCAGTGGCGATGTTTACTAACCGCACCAGGTACTCATTTGAGGCTGAGTCGACCTATGGGGAGGCCCAGGACCGGTTCAGATAATCGTCACCGGTGTTGGTGGCCGTGAGCTGGAATCGAACTCGTGAACTCGTCCATTCACTCACCCATCCACTCACCCATCCACTTAGCCACATTCATCCACTCACTCGCCCACCCACCCACTTGCCCACCCACCCACTCGCCCACCCACCCACTCGCCCATCTACTCGCCCAACCACTCGCCCATCATCTCACCCATCCACTGACCCACATTAATCCACTCACCCACACATCCACTTGCCCATCCACTTGCCCATCCACTCACCCATCCACTCACCCATCCACTCACCCATTCACTTACCAACCCACTCACCCGTCCACTCGCCCATCATCTCACCCATCCACTGACCCACATTAATCCACTCACCCACTTACATATCCACTTGCCCATTCATTCACCCACTCACCCATTCACTCGCCCACCCGCTCGCCCATCCGCTCACCCATCCGCTCACCCATCCACTCACCCACTCATTCACCCATCCACTTATAAATCCACTCATTCGCTCACACTAACGACTGGACATCTGTGAAAACGAAGCTTTATTGGCTCATCATATTCCTCCAGTGATGAAATAATGATTCTGATTCTAAATCCGTGTGTGACGTGACGGGGAATGGGCGATCACTGCCATAGTGGGGTAGGGGTTTCTCCGTTTCCAGCGGAATTCTCGCACGAAGTTGTGGTGGTGGGTGATGGTGGTTGGTGGTGGTGGTGGTGGTTGGTGGTGGTTGATGTGGTTCGAACTCCACCGTAGAGAAACCCGGATGCATTCGTCAGAGCGTTGGCTAAAAAAAAAAACCCGAGTTACAACCCAGTGGCAAGAGAGAAATTCATATCGCACGTAGGTGCAAAATTTCCACGGCCTTTTGGTCTGATAGCCACCCACCCAGCCACTCACCCACCCGCCCGCTGACCCGCCCTCTCGCCCACCCACCCAGCCACTCACCCACCCACTCAGCCACTCACCCACTCGCCTACTCACCCACTCGCCCACTCACCCACCCAGCCACTCACCCACCCGCCCGCTGACCCGCCCACTCACCCACCCAGCCACTCACCCACCCGCCCGCTGACCCGCCCACTCGCCCACCCAGCCACCCAGCCACTCACCCACCCACTCAGCCACTCACCCACCCACCCAGCCACTCACCCACTCGCCTACTCACCCACTCGCCCACTCAACCACCCAGCCACTCACCCGCCCACTTCGCCACCCGCCCACTCGCCCACCCACCCAGCCACTCACCCACCCACTCGCCCACCCACCCAAGCCACTCGCTAACTCGCCCATTCACCCACCCGCCCACTCACCCACCCAGCCACTCACCCACCCGCCCACGCACCCAACCAGCCATTCATGCATCCACCCAAAACTCACCCACTCGCCTACCCACCCTAAGCCACTCACCCGCCCGCCCAATCACACACCCACCCACCCGCCCGCCCAGCCACCCACCCACCCAGCCACTCACCTGCCGAGTCACTCACCGACCCAGCAACTCGCTCATTCTGCCCACTCACCTGCACCCACCCACCCAAGCCACTCGCCCATCCAGCAACTGACCCACGCACTCACTCACCCACTCAACCACCCAGCCACTCACCCACCTACTCACCCATCCGCCCACTCACCCATCCGCCCACTTGCCTATGCACCCATCCACTCACCTATGCACCCATTCACGCACTCACTCACCCACCCACACAGCCACTCACCCACCCAGCAACTCACCCACCCAGCAACTGACCACGCACCCACTCGCCCACGCACGCACCCACTCAGCCACCCACTCACCCACCCACGCACTCGCTAACCCACCCACCCACACACCCACTCGCCCACCCACCCAAGCCACTCGCCCAGCCGCCTGCTTCTGTGCCTGCTGATCGAATGCTTCCGAGAGATGGGGAGCGTGTCGGAAGGCGATCCGCAAACTTGTTATCTTGACGACTGCAGCCGTGTGACATTTGTTTGGTTTGTTGTGGTGGTGGTGGCGGTGGCGTCGGCGGTGGTGGGGAGTTAGCGGTGCTAACCCCTAAACCGGGTTCGATTCTCGCCCGCGGCCGACCAGCGGCGCCGGTGATGATTGTCTGAGCCGGTCCTGGGCCTCCCCCCAGCTCCACTCGGCCTCAAATGAGTACCTGGTGTGGATTGTAGGGCACCACGGTATACAGGAGGTCGTGGGTTCGATCCCGACACTGAGATTGTCAGGATCCGGATCGAACCCACGGCCTTCCTGCATACCAGGCGAGGCAGTCAACATCTCGCCCACCGCGCGCGGCGAGACGTTGGCACGCGCGTTACCGCCAGGGGCGGAGCCAGGGGGGGTGACAGGGGTGACATTCCGCGTGTAAGAGTACGACACTCGGTCTGGCGGACCCCGTGCAACTGCATCGTCAGAGTGTGTCCGCCAACCGATGGCGTCTAGTTCAACAGCCTGACTCTCTAAATCATTCTTGAAATTAACATTTGTTGAATGTCACCCCGGCCTGAAATCCTGGCTCCGCCCCTGGTTAACACACGCGCGTTAACACACGCGGGCACGCGCGTTAACACACGCGCGTTAACACACGCGCGTTAACACACGCGTTAACACACGCGCGTTAACACGCGCGTTAACACATGCGTTAACACGCGCGCGTTAACACACGCGCGTTAACACACGCGGGCACGCGCGTTAACACACGCGTTAACACACACGCGTTAACACGCGTTAACACGCGCACGTTAACACACGCGGGCACGCGCGTTAACACACGCGCGTTAACACACGCGCGTTAACACACGCGCGTTAACACACGCGCGTTAACACACGCGCGTTAACACGCGCGTTAACACACGCGCGTTAATACACGTTAACACGCGCGCGTTAACACACGCGGGCACGCGCGTTAACACACGCGCGTTAACACACGCGCGTTAACACACGCGCGTTAACACACGCGCGTTAACACACGCGCGTTAACACACGCGCGTTAACACACGAGCGTTAACACACGCGCGTGCGCGAACGTGTTTCGCAACCGCGACGTTGTGGCGGGCAGCCGGACCCCCAACCCGGAGCGGACCGTGCCTCCCCGCAGGTACGAGGAGCGCATGCAGGCGCTGGCCGAGAACGAGTACTTCCGCGTGTGCGTGGAGAATCTGGTGAGGAAGAGCAAGCAGGCGCTGCGGCTCTTCAAGGAGGCCAGGGAGCGCATGTTCGAGGAGCACTCGCAGCCCAGGCGAGTGGTGGGGCACCGCCGCTCGGCGCTACGGAGACCGGGCGGTGGTTGGTCCGGTGGGTCGAGGGGGGTGGTCGTGATGGTGGCATTTTAATAATTTACCGGTGCCACGGTGGCGAGATGTTAACTACCTCGCCCGGCATGCAGGAGGTCGTGGGTTCCATCCCGATCCTGACGATGCCAGGTTGATTGTGGCATTTTAATAATCATCTTAGTTATCCACTCACCGACTCACTCATTCACTCAGGTCACTCTTGAGTTCTGGTTAAAGAAAATCAACTTCAAACTCACTAACTCACTCCCCTTATCACATTCAATAAATTGCCCACCCACCCACTCACCCGCCCACTCATTCACCCACCCATTCACCCGCCCACTCATTCACCCACCCACTCACTCACCCACCCACTCACCCACCCACCCAGGATAATTTTTCACGTGAGTCTTAGCCTGGGGCCCTCCAGTTCTCACCTCTGGTTGAAGCAAATTTAAACGAACTCACTCCCCTTATCATCTCATTCAATCAATGACCCACTCACCCACCCACTCGCCCACTCACCCACCCACTCGCCCACTCACCCACCAACTCACCCACCCACCAACTCGCCCACCCAGGATAACGATGATGATTGCAACTGTCATTCAATCAATGATCCACTCACCCACCCACTCGCCCACTCACCCACCAACTCGCCCACCCAGGATAATCTTGCGCGTTCAGTTTATTTATTTTGGTATAGCCCTGTGAGCCATTTGGCTCTTGAATCGGGTGCAACCACAACAAACAAAAAAAACAAAAACACGAACAAGAAAAACATCTTAAAGTGACTATGTGACTGTGCAAACAGAAAATCCGTGGAAAAAAAACCAGCAAAAATATTCCTGAAAAAAGCACCGTACACCAACGCTGTGTGCAAAAAATCCCAGCGGGATGCAAGTCAAACAACAACAACAACCACAAGAAAACTTAGATTAAGGCCATCAGTCTAACTCCGTACTACAACAAAACAAACATGTCCAAACCAAAAAACTTTTCCAAATCACCAAAAAATAAAGCCATAATTGCAACGTAACAGTGATCACAAGGACTGTGACCGAATTTTTACAATAAACTACATAAATAACATGTAACACCAAATCCTAGAGCCATAGCTGGCTGCACGAGTTACTCCACAACAACAGAAGCATCGGTCGGAGTATCAAATTTTTCAATGCACCTTTAAGATCAGCACTCTAAATCAAAATACAGATAATACTTTGCAGCGTCATCCGGAGCGAAACATTTTATTTTACGCCAATGAATAGCAGTGGCAGCTAGGGGTGTACAACTCCTCTAGAGCAGTTTTGAGAGAAGATCTCATTGGTAGCGATTCAAGTTGCAGTGTATTGGCAATAGCATTCCAGACCCTGGGGGCATCAATAGCAAAGGCCCTTCCTCCAGTTTTTGTACGGCAATAGGGAATGTGAAGCTGGTAAATGAGCGAAGACCTGAGGTTAAATTTGTTCTTTGAAACAGAGAGGAGATCCAGCAGGTAGTCTGCGGATTTTTTTGTAAGTACATCGTGAATAAATAAGATCTGGTGCACAAGCCGTCGAACATTAAGAGACGTTAAGTTTGACCCAATGTAGAGATCACAGTGGTGAGTCCTATATGGGCAGTTCAATGCAAATCTTAAGGCCGAGTGATAGATGGAATCAAGCTTCTTCAGTACAGTACTTGGGGCTGATTTATACACGATGTCACAGTAGTCAAGTAGAGGCAGTATGGTAGCTTTTATCAATTCCAAACGGAACATTGGGGGGAAGCAGTGCTTGTGGCGTGAGTCTCAGCCTGGCTCCCCCCAGTTCTAAACCTCTGGTTGAAACAAATTTAAACTTGAAACAATCACCCCACCTGTCGCTCCGACTGTGGGCCAGCTACTGGTGGCTCTGGCCGGCTGCGTTCACGACCTGATCCCTATCGCCTCTCCGCAGCTAACTTCCTTGAGCACAGGGACTGGGCCATGAACGTGGCGGTGGCTTGGATTGTGCGTGCGTGTCAATTGTGCAAGTGTCGGGTTATGCAGTTTGTGTGTGCGCGTGTGGTAAAGGTGTGCGTGCGTGTGTGTATGTATGTGTGTATGTGTGTACGTGTGTATGTATGTGTGTGTGTATGTGGTAAGGTTGTGCATGCGTGTGTGTATGTGTGTACGTGTGTGGTAAAGGTGTGCGTGCGTGTGTGTATGTGTGTATGTGTGTGTGTAATGTGTGTGTGGAAAGTGCACATGGTTTGTGTGTGTGTGTACATGTGTGTGTGGAAAGTTTACATGGTTTGTGTGTGTGATGTGTGTGTGTAATGTGTGTGTCTTGTATCGTGTGTGGAAAGTTTACATGCTTTGTGTGTGTGGTGTGTGTGTGTAATGTGTGTGTGTGTATTGTGTGGAAAGTTTACATGGTTTGTGTGTGTGGTGTGTCTGTGTGTAATGTGTGTATTGTGTGGAAAGTTTACATGGTTTGTGTGTGTGGTGTGTCTGTGTGTAATGTGTGTATTGTGTGTGGAAAGTATACATGCTTTGTGTGTGTGGTGTGTGTGTGTAATGTGTGTGTGTAATGTGTGTGTGGAAAGTGTACATGGTTTGTGTGGTCAGTGAGAGTGTGTGTATGTGGAAAGTGGGTATGTACATATGACAAACTTCTTTCACGCCGTACGTAGCCAACCGTGCGTCGTGTGTTCTGTGTAGTGTGTGGTGTGTGTAGTGTGTCCTGTGTGTGTGTGTGGTAAGTGTGTGTGGTGTGTCCTGTGTGTGTGTGGTAAGTGTGTGTAGTGTGTCCTGTGTGTGTGGTAAGTGTGTGTGTTGTGTGTAGTGTGTCCTGTGTGTGTGTGTTAAGTGTGTATTGTGTCCTGTGTGTGTGTGTGTGTTAAGTGTGTGTATTGTGTGTGTAGTGTGTATGTGGTGTGTGTAGTGTGTGTGCCTGTGTGGTGAGTGTGTGTAGTGTTTGTGTGGTATGTGTAGTGTCTATAGTATTTGTGTGGTGTAAGTGTATGTGGTGTGTGCATTGTGTGTAATGGTATGTGTGTGTGGTGAGTTTGTGTAATGGTATGTGTGTGTGGTGAGTGTGTGTAGTGTGTGTGGCAAGTTTGTGTAGTGTGAGTGTGTGTAGTGTGTGTATGGTGTATTCAGTGTGTATAGTGCGAGTGGTGTGGTGATTGTGTAGTGTCTGGTGTGTGTATGGTATGTGTGTGTGTAGTGTGTAGTATGTGTGTGGTGTGTGTGGTGTGTGTAGTAGGTGTATGTGGTGTATGTGTGGTGTGTGTAGTGTGTGTAGTATGTGAAGTGTGTGTGGTGAGTGTGGTAAGTGTGTGTGGTTAGTATGTGTGGTGGGTGAGTGTAGTGTGTGTGGTTAGTGTGGTGTGTGTGTAGTATGTGGTGAGTGAGTGTGTAGTGTGTGCGTCTTTGTAGCGTGTGAGTCTTAAGTTTTCACTTTATCGCCTTAGACCCATTTCGATTCCCGCTCCCAAACTGCACTTCTCCTAACAGTTTATCGAGGCTCTATGTGGTATGTTTGTCTTAGCATGTGTGTGTGACTTTAGCATGTGTGTGTGTGTGTATGAAGTCGTATACATGTGCGTATCCCTGTGTGTGTTTGAGCTTAGCAAGTGGCAGTGCAGCGGTTATGACCGCGTCGCGCTGCGAACCCGCCGACCCGAGTTCGATTCCCGCTCGTGGCCAGCAACACCGGTGACGATTATGTGATATCGGTCCCTGGGCCTCCCCCTAGGTCGACTCGGCCTCAAATGAGTAACCTGGTGTGGTGTGGAAACACTGCAACTGGGGAGACAAAGGCGGCCGGGCGAGTGGTGCTGGGCACCCACCCCTCGTGCCGGCCTTCATCGGCGCTGCTCGCTCACAGCACGTGCCCCGACAGTCTGTTAAGGCTACACGGGGGATCTTTGGTGACGACGATGATGATGATGTTGATGATGGCAGCGACAATGATGATGATGATGATGGCGATGATGACGACGATGTCGATGACGACGATGACGACGATGACGACGATGATGACGATGATAATGGTGATGACGACGATGACGACGACGATGACGACGACGATGATGATGATGACGTCGATGACGACGATGATGACGACGATGATGACGACGATGACGTCGACGACGTCGATGACGACGACGATGTCGATGACGACGACGATGATGACGACGACGACGATGATTACAACTGCGATGATGATTACAACTGCGATGATGATTACAACTGCGACGATGATTACAACTGCGATGACGACGATGAAGTTGGCAACGACTGCAATGAAAACGATGATTACGACTGCGATGACGGTGATGAGCATTACGATGACGACTGCGATGACAACGATGATGTTTTTCGTTGCAGGCGGAACCTCACGAAGCTATCGCTCATCTTCAGCCACATGCTGGCGGAGCTCAAGGCGCTCTTCCCCGGGGGGATCTTCCAGGGCAACGATTTCCGCATCACGAAGGCGGACGCCTCCGACTTCTGGAGGAAGGCCTTCGGGGAGAGGTGAGCCACGGGGTCCGCCGCTTGGGAGCCAGCGCCTGCTGAAGGTCCCCCCCACCCCCCTCCGGGGTTCGTCTGCAGATTTCGTCCACCCTCGATGGATAGGCTCCATAGACTCAACACTGCCCATAGACTCAACACTGCCCATAGACTCAACAATGCCCATAGACTCAACACTGCCCATAGACTCAGCACTGCCCACAGACTCAACATTGCCCACAGACTCAGCACTGCCCACAGACTCAACACTGCCCATAGACTCAACACTGCCCATAGACTCAACACTGCCCATAGACTCAACACTGCCCATAGACTCAGCACTGCCCATAGACTCAGCACTGCCCACGGACTCAACACTGCCCATAGACTCAGCACTGCCCACGGACTCAACACTGTCCACTGACTCAACACTGTCCACTGACTCAACACTGCCCATAGACTCAGCACTGCCCACGGACTCAACACTGCCCATAGACTCAACACTGCATTATAGACTCAACACTGCCCATAGACTCAACACTGCCCATAGACTCAACACTGTCCACTGACTCAACACTGCCCATAGACTCAACACTGCCCATAGACTCAACACTGCCCATAGACTCAACACTGTCCACTGACTCAACACTGCCCATAGACTCAACACTGCCCATAGACTCAACACTGCATTATAGACTCAACACTGCCCATAGACTCAACACTGCCCACACACTCAACACTGTCCACAGACTCAACACTGCCCACACACTCAACACTGTCCACTGACTCAACACTGCCCATAGACTCAACACTGCCCATAGACTCAACACTGCACCACAGACTCAACACTGCCCATAGACTCAACACTGCGTTATAGACTCAACACCGCCCATAGACTCAACACTGCACCATAGACTCAACACTGTCCATAGACTCAACACTGTCCACAGACTCACCACTGCCCACAGACACTCAGCACTGCCCACAGACTCAACACTGCACCATAGACTCAGCACTGCCCACAGACTCAACACTGTCCAGACTCAACACTGCCCATAGACTCAACACTGCCCATAGACTCATTACTGTCCATAGACTCAGCACTACACCATAGACTCAACACTGCCCATAGACTCAGCACTGCCCACAGACTCAGCACTGCCCACAGACTCAGCACTGCCCACAGACTCAACACTGTCCACACACTCAACACTGTCCACTGACTCAGCACTGCCCACTGACTCAACACTGCCCATAGACTCAACACTGCCCATAGACTCAACACTGTCCACTGACTCAGCACTGCCCATGGACTCAGCACTGCCCACAGACTCAGCACTGCCCATAGACTCAACACTGTCCATAGACTCAACACTGCCCACAGACTCAATACTGCCCATAGACTCAACACTGCCCATAGACTCAACACTGCACCATAGACTCAACACTGCCCATAGACTCAGCACTGCCCACAGACTCAACACTGCCCATAGACTCAACACTGCCCATAGACTCAACACTGCACCATAGACTCAACACTGCACCATAGACTCAACACTGTCCATAGACTCAACACTGTCCACTGACTCAGCACTGCCCACAGACTCAACACTGCACCATAGACTCAGCACTACCCATAGACTCAACACTCCCCTAGGCTCAACACTGCCCACGGACTCAGCACTGCCCATGGACTCAGCACTGCCCATGGACTAACACTGCCCATAGACTCAACATTGCCCACAGACTTAACACTACCCTCAGACTCAACACTGCCCATAGACTCAACACTGCCCACGGACTCAGCACTGCCCATGGACTAACACTGCCCCTGTACGTTGAGCGGGTCCCCCCCTTAACCTACCTTTCGTTCCTCTCTTAAAGCCTCACCACCTATTCTCCACTATCATCGTCCGTTCTCTTAAAGCCTCACCACCTATTCCCCACTATCATCGTCCGTTCTCTTAAAGCCTCACCACCTATTCCCCACTATCATCGTCCGTTCTCTTAAAGCCTCACCACCTATTCTCCATTATCATCGTCCGTTCTCTTAAAGCCTCACCACCTATTCTCCATTATCATCATCCGTTCTCTTTCCTCTCCCCATCTCCCCGTCGCCCCTCCACCCCATCCCTCCCCAACAGCCCCTCCCGTTAACCCCCCCCCTCCCCACCAAGTACCTCCTCTGTCACTGCCATCGACCCTCGTGGCACCGGCCCCCAGCCGCCCTCCTAAATCACTCCGCTCTGCGTCACCGCTCTTCAAACTCCGGCAAGCGCCGTCGGAGAAGTGGAGGTGGGGTGGGGGGGCGGGGTGGGGGAAGGTCTCCAGGAATATGAAATTAGAAGATCGGGCGCGAACGCGGGGCGTGCGAGTCTTGAGCTTCGTGACCGGGAAAACCTGAAAGTGTTCATTCCTCGGTCCATTTTGCGCCTGACGGAGGCCCTGCGGGGCGAGCCGGAAGCCTCGCGCGTGGCTCCCGGCTCTCTCTCTCTCTCTCTCGCTCGCCGCGGCTTGCGCTGAACGTGCGGGCAGCTCCCCCTCTGCCCGTCGACGGCGCATCAGTTGGTTTGCCACGCGCGGAATTTGATGGCGAGGCCGATGGCAAGCGAAGGTGTCCGCTCTCCGCCAGTTGACCGTGATGCAGGATCGGCGAGAATAGACGCACGCACACACACACAACCCCCTGCCTGCCTTGGCGTGTCTGCGTAGAGAGATAGATACGATGGTGTATGCGTGAAGCCACACACGTTCCACGCAGAGATCCCCAACCCGTGTAGCCCTTAACAGACTGTTGGGGTGAGGTTAGGCCCCACTGAGCGAGCTGGCTATCACAAATTATATCTCGGCGAAGTTGCCTTCTTCGCCATCATCATCATCACGTGGATGGTTACAGCAGGCAAGTTCTCTGAACGCGCGACGTTAAATGGGGAGGGAAAAGCCGGAGAACCCGGAGAAAAATCGAACGCGACCACTCCAATTATACCGCAGGCGTCGCCAGGGTCGCGATTGAACCCGCGACCTCCTGCACACCAGGCGAGGGAGTTAACATCTCGCCACATACAAGAACCTACGCCGTGTCGCCTTGAACTCGCTTGTCGGGGCAAGTGCTGTTAGCGAGCAGCACCGATGAAGACCGGTCACGGCACACGAGTTTGTGGTTTGGTCAGCACCAGGCCCGGCCGCCTTTGTCTCCCCAGTGGCGATGTTTGCACACTGCACCAGGTACTCATTTGGGGGAGGCCCAGGACCAGTTCAGATATTCGTCACCGGTATTGGTGGCCGTGAGCAGAAATCGTACTCCTGTTCGCTGGGTTCACAGTGCAGCGTTGCGCTAACCACTACACTACCACTCTCTACAAGTCAGCCACTCACACAGTCCCTTATATACTCACTTAGCCACTCACACAGTCACTCACACAGAGCCACTCACACAGCATCACTCACACAGAGCCACTCACACAGCCACTCACACAGAGCCACTCACACAGAGCCACTCACACGCAGAGAGCCACTCACACAGCCACTCACACAGCCACTTACACACTCACTTAGCCACTCACACAGCCACTCACACAGAGCCACTCACACGCACAGAGCCACTCACACAGCCACTCACACAGCCACTTACACACTCAAACACACGCACAGAGCCATTCACACACAGCCACACACACAGTCACTCACACAGGCACTCATACACACAGTTACTCACACAGCCACTCACACACAACAACAACAACCGCCATTCACCACTAAGTGGCGGTGACATCACCACGACGCTTGTGCCAGGCTATGTGCACCCTGAGGCCACGTGAAGTGTCGAACGCCCGCTGGCAGGAGGTCACGGGGTAGACCCAGGTGCCACGGGTCGACTGACTGAGATGACTGGCTGATGCACCACCTGTGCCCCCTACTGTGCAAACCTGCTGTGCTTTAGCCACCCGGCGCTCCGTTCGTTGTAATGAGCGTCTCTCCTTCGCCCTCCGTTGTTGTTGGAGGGCGACTACCTCCAACTGCCCAGTAGCATCCTTCACGAGCCTCCTCCACAGAGGCCGATCTTGACACCGCTTGTACCAGTCATCGGCAAGTCCACTCAGCTCCACGTCATCCTGTACCACATCACTCCTTCTCTTCTCTAGCCCGTGCCGCGCCCTCTTAGCCCCCTCAATCCGGCCGAACAAAAGCTGTTTCGGCATGCGGTGGCTGGCCATGCGGGCTACATGACCCAGCCATCGCAGCCTTCCCTGCCGGAGGAGCTCACCGATGGGACCTTGCCCAGATCTTTCAAGGATTTGTGAGCTCCTCACACAATCCAGTCTGGTTAAACCCAGGATGGATCGTAGGCAGGCCAGCCTAAATGTTTATAACCGGCGAAGATGTTCCATTAGGGGGGTCCACGTTTCGCAAGCGTAGAGAAGCCACTCACACACACAGTAACACAAACACACACAGCCACTCACACACACATTCACTCTCACACTCTCACACACACACAGCCACACAGAGACACACACAGAGACACACACAGACACACACAGACACACACAGAGACACACCACACACAGAGACACACAGAGACACACACAGACACACACAGAGACAGACCACACACACAGACACATACAGAGACACACAGAGACACACAGAGACACACAGACACACAGAGACACACAGAGACACACCACACACACAGACACACAGAGACACACACAGAGACACACCACACACACAGACATACATAGACACACACAGAGACACACACAGAGACACACACAGACACACACACAGACACACACAGAGACACACACAGCCACTCACACATTCACTCTCACACACACACAGACAGCCACTCACACACAATCACACAATCACACACACAACACATTAATACGCCCGTATCAAGTCATGTGGTGTAGGCGTTGTCACTGAATTCAGCAGGCTGCCCTTCCTGACTCTCATCATCATCAGGCAGGGGGGAGGAGGGTTGGAGGTCTTTTTTTACCCCCCCCCCCCCATCTGTGCGACAGCAGGAAGTCTCGAGGCTGGGGTGGGGAGGGATGGGGTGAGGGAGAGAGACAGAAGTTGTTCATATTCTTGGTTCTTTCGGTAAAGTCACGTAGAAGGGAAACTACAGCGATGAAATTTTCTTGCTGTGGTTTTCACACCTGATGATGATGATGATTGCTTGTGTTGCAGTCGAAACGTCGTGAGAATTTTATTGTTTTGTATTTTTAATGAATTTATTGTTTCCCTTCTACGTGGTGGTGACTTTACCGAAAGAACCAATAATATGAATCCCTGCAGTCACGAAAGCTTTAAATAAATATAAGAGAAGTTGATGTTGTTGTTTTGGAGATTTGCGCGGGGCGATTTGTTTTTTCTCCTCCTCCTGCTCCTACCGCTCGCCCGGGCAGCCAACAGAAATCTGCGTCGGAATTCCCCACGCGCGCGGAGAGAGAGGAAGGGAGCGTTTGGGGGGGGGAGGGGGAGGGCACGGGCAGCCGTGGCAGTCTCCTCCGCCGTCTCCACGCGCGGCTTCTGAGGATTTCTCATCTGCCTCGGGCGCTCGCGCTGTGGGGGGGGGGGGGGGGGGGTTACACCGTGAACAGCGTCTTGGAACGCTTACTAATCCCTCACACTGACCACGAGTGCGCGCACGCACACACACAACGAAGATCCACCGCCCCCCCCCCCCTCCTACGCCGTATAGACTGTTGGGGCAAGTGCTGTTCGCTTAGCCCATGAAAGCCGGCACGGCATACGAGGTGGGGGGTGGGGTGGGTGTCCAGCAACGCGCCCGGCCGACTTTGTCTCCCCGGGGCAGCGATGTTCACTACACGCCCGTTCGCTCATCAAGTCGCGGGGACGAGCGGTCCAGATCATCGTCGGCAGCCGAGGGCCCACGCTGAACCCCACCCCCCCCCCCCCCCATCGGCTTTCTTTTTGCCGGAAGCAGGGCTGGCTGCTTGCGCAATGACAGCCCAGGGGTGGTGGGAGGTGGTGGCGGCTTAACCACCGCACGGGAGATTTAAGTAGCGGCGGCCGAGCAGCTCTGAGCCATTATGAACCCCTTTGAGAGAGAGAGACCCAGGGCTTGAACTCATGTTCTTCTCCATGCTGGTTCAGTGTCTCAGACACGGCCATTACGAACCCCTTTGAGAGAGAGAGACCCAGACCCAGGGCTTGAACTCATGTTCTTATCCATGCTGGTTCAGTGTCTCAGACACGGCCAATACGAACCCCTTTGAGAGAGAGAGACCCAGACCCAGGGCTTGAACTCATGTTCTTATCCATGCTGGTTCAGTGTCTCGGACACGGCCATTACGAACCCCTTTGAGAGAGAGAGAGACCCAGACCGAGGGCTTGAACCCAGCGTCTCAGCCGTGCTGGCTCTGTGAAGAAGTCTTATGAATGAGCGAATGACCGGCGGCGGTGAAGGAATGAACGAGCGACTAACCCAACGGGTGTACGACCCCCCCCCTCCGCAGGGCGATCGTGCCGTGGAAGGTTTTCCGCCAGTGCATCAGCGAGGTCCACACCATCAGCTCGGGCCTGGAGGCGATGGCGCTCAAGTCGACGATCGACCTCACCTGCAACGACTGCATCTCCGTCTTCGAATTCGACATCTTCACACGCCTCTTCCAGGTGAGAGAACGCGTGTCGGTGAGCATGAGAGAAGTGCGTGTGTGTGCGCGTGAGAGTGAACTGGTCCTGGGCCTCCCCTAGGGTCGACACAGCCTCAAATGGGTGCCTCGTGCGGTGTGTAGTAAACATCGCCACTGGGGAGACAAAGGCGGCCGGGCGTGGTTGCTGTCCACCCACCGCCTCGTGTGCCGTGCCGGCCTTCGTAGGTGCTGCTGCTCGCTAACAGCGCTTGCCCCCAACAGCCCCTGAAGGCTACGCGGGTGATCTTTGTCTTTGTGCGTGCACAACAACATCCGCCGTTCGCCACTGTGCGGCGGTGACATCGCCACGGCGCTCGTGCCAGGCTAGGTGCCGCGTGGGGAGCACAGCAGGTGTATCTGGGAGGTCACGTGGCTCAGTCACGTGACCTCCCAGCGAGCAGCAAAGTGTAGTGTCGTTCACCAACACGGAGGGCACACGCTCTGGGCTGGGAGGCAACACTTTTATTGAACAGCTTCACTGAACGTAAACTCGGGTTCTCTTAGTAGGTGATGTGGCTAACGATGTGAGTAGCGAGTTAACTCCGGACGAAGATCCCGAGACGACGAGACGCAGGACCCAGGCTTGATTCCACAGACGTGCCAAGAACCGGTTAGATTTTGATTTAAAGCTTTCGTGACTGCAGGGATTCATATTCTTGGTTCTTTCGGTAAAGTCACGTAGAAGGGAAACAATAAAATAATAAAAATATAAAAAATAAAATTCCCACGACGTTTCGACTGCAACACAAGCAATCATCATCAGGTGTGAAAACCACAACAAGAAAATTTGAAAAAAGTGGCGGTTATTTTTAACGTTAACACCACAGAGAGAGATTTGACAGTTTGTTCAGATGGACGAGTCCATCTATTTTGATTTAAAGCTTTCGTGACTGCAGTAATTCATATTCTTAGTTTTTTCGGTAAAGTCACGTTGAAGAGAAACAACAAAATAATAAAATATATATAAAACAATTAAAAATTCTCACGACGTTTCGACCATAACTCAAACGGTCATCTTCAACACACCTGAAGATGACCGTTTGAGTTATGGTCGAAACGTCGTGAGAATTTTTTTATTGTTTTATATATATTTTATTATTTTGTTGTTTCTCTTCAACGTGACTTTACCGAAAAAACTAAGAATATGAGTCCATCTATGTTCGGAAAAGAGGAGGGGGGAGACGAAAAATAATGGATGCGGTCTGAAAGCCACCTTAAGCGTGATCAATCAATTAAGACCTGAAATGGTTTATCAAATCCTTCTAATGATTGCTAATCCAGAATCCATCTTCTCGGTTGAAATTGTCTCTGTGTTTGTATATGTGGATAGCCTCATGAACGAATCTCTCATGGTAGCCAGATGGCTTGCAAAGAACCTCTGTCTTGGAGAAGTCAATGTCATGTGAACCTACGATAGCTGTAATCCTCTCAGCCGACAAGGGCAATGCCACTGTCATCATGGATAAAATAGAATATAACAACAAAATTCAAAAATTACTCAACGATGGCAGCTATACAAAAATACAAAGAGATCCCACCAACAGCCTCGTTATAAAAACCAACAAAATATTTTCTGATTCAACCGCATTAATTGATACTTCACTTAATTAATTGATACTTCACTTCCCATATACAAGCACAGAGACAATTTCAACCGAGAAGATGGATTCTGGCTTAGCAATCATTGGAAAGATTTGATAAACCATTTCAGGTCTTAATTGATTGTTAACGCTTACGGTGGCTTTCAGACAGCATACATTAATTTTTCGTCTCCCCCCTCCTCTTTTCAGAACATAGATGGACTAGTCCTTCTAAATAAACTGCCAAATCGCTGCGCGTGGCGCTGACGTTTTTTAATAAATAAATAAACCAATAATTAAAAATAAATACATTAATTCGGACCGGCACACCTGATGACGACTTTGTGTTATGGTCGAAACGTCGTGAGAATTTTTATTGTTTTATATATATTTTATTATTTTATTGTTTCCCTTCCACGTGACTTTACCGAAAGAGCTAAGAATATGAATTACTGCAGTCAAGAAAGCTTTAAATCAAAACCGAGAATATGTGCCAAGAACCCCTTTATGCTCCTGGGCGTGGCCTCGCTCAGCCTTCGGCCACGCCCCCCTTTGGCCACGCCCCCTTCGAAACCTTTCCCGTAGGATCTGCACTACGGGAACACACCCCCAGCGACACCATTTACGTCACTACAAAAGCGTGCACCTAGCCTGGCACGAGCGCCGTGGTGACGGCACCGCCACTCGGTGGCGAATGGCGGCTGTTGTTGTTGTTGTTGTCTGTGGGGCCGTCCATAAATGACGTCACGCACTTGGGGGGCGGGGTGGTGTCAGACATTTGTGACGATGTGTGACGAGGGGGGTGGGGTGTTTGAGAAATGTGACGTCACATCGAAATGCGCAACTTTAAATAAATACAGACAACACGTTCTACTTAATTAAATAGACTTTTTTAATAAATGTTTTCTCCTACAACATCAGAGTGCAGCGCCACATTAAATACGCAACTACAATGTGACAATAGTTTAAAACGATTTGAAGCGTGTTTTATTTTTAAAATGGAAATATGGTTTTGGGGGGTGGGGGGGTAGGCAGAGCTTTGTGACATCATATTTGAGGGGGGGGGGGGTCTGACTTTTTGTGACGCCGTGTGACGAGAGGGGGGGGGGGGGGAGTCAAAAATCGCGTGATGTCATTTATGGACGGCCCCTTTCGTGGTTCGTATGGGGGGAGCGGTGGCGCAGTGGTTAGCACCACGAACCACCCCGGCCAACCCCGAGGTTCGATATCCGCTCACGGGCGACATCGGCGATAGGTGATCACTCACAGATCATCACTAACAGATAGATGATCACTAACAGATAGGTGATCACTCACAGATCATCACTAACAGATAGATGATCAATAACAGATGCTCGCTAACAGAGACCCGCTTGTGTCTTGGCCCGCCTGTCCCTGTCCCCCCCCACCCCCCGCGTGCCCCCGTCATCGTGCCCAGCCATGGTCGTCGCTGCTGCGAAACTGGAACGTGCTAGCGGTGACGCACCCCGGCTACATGGCCTTCCTCACCTACGACGAGGTGAAGGCCCGCCTCCTCAAGTACGCCAACAAGCCCGGCAGGTACGAGAGCCGACGGCTCGGTCGCTCGCTCACTCACTCGCTCACTCACTCGCTTGGTCACTCGCTCGGTCACTCGCTCAGTCGCTCGGTCACTCGATCACTCACTCGCTCGGTCACTCGCTCGGTCACTCGCTCGGTCACTCGCTCGGTCACTCGCTCGGTCACTCGGTCACTCACTCGCTCGGTCACTCGCTCAGTCGCTCGGTCACTCGATCACTCACTCGCTCGGTCACTCGCTCGGTCACTCACTCGCTCGGTCACTCGGTCACTCACTCGCTCGGTCACTCGGTCACTCACTCGCTCGGTCACTTGCTCACTCACTCGCTCGGTCACTCGCTCGGTCACTCGCTCGGTCACTCACTCGCTCGGTCACTCGCTCAGTCGCTTGCTTGGTCACTCGGTCACTCACTCGCTCGGTCACTCGCTCGGTCACTCGGTCACTCACTCGCTCGGTCACTTGCTCACTCACTCGCTCGGTCACTCGGTCACTCACTCGCTCGGTCACTCGCTCACTCACTCGCTCGGTCACTTGCTCACTCACTCGCTCGGTCACTCGGTCACTCACTCGCTCGGTCACTCGGTCACTCACTCGCTCGGTCACTTGCTCACTCACTCGCTCGGTCACTCGGTCACTCACTCGCTCGGTCACTCGCTCAGTCGCTCGCTCGGTCACTCGCTCGGTCGCTCGCTCGGTCACTCGGCCGCTTGCTCAGTTACTCCCCCCCCACTCCCCCCCCGCTGTAACGAGCGGCGAGTGCGCCACCGCTGAGCCACGTCCCGTCGCTGGGCGTGGGCGGGACGAGGTGGGGGGTGGTGGGTAGGGGGTGGGGGGTGGTGGGTAGGGGGTGGGGGGTGGTGGGTAGGGGGTGGGGGGTGGTGGGTAGGGGGTGGTGGGTAGGGGGTGGTGGGTAGGGGGTGGTGGGTAGGGGGTGGGGGGTGGTGGGTAGGGGGTGGGGGGTGGTGGGTAGGGGGTGGGGGGTGGTGGGTAGGGGGTGGGGGGTGGTGGGTAGGGGGTGGTGGGTAGGGGGTGGTGGGTAGGGGGTGGTGGGTAGGGGGTGGGGGGTGGTGGGTAGGGGGTGGGGGGTGGTGGGTAGGGGGTGGGGGGTGGTGGGTAGGGGGTGGGGGGGTGGTGGGTAGGGGGTGGGGGGTGGTGGGTAGGGGGTGGGGGGTAGGGGGTGGGGGGTGGGGGGTGGTGGGTAGGGGGGTGGGGGGTGGTGGGTAGGGGGTGGGGGGTGGTGGGTAGGGGGTGGGGGGTGGTCCGTGTCGCCGTCTGACCGCGAGACCCGCGTCCGGTCAGCTCTTCTCTCTTCTCACGTCGAGGGGAAACTCTTTCACGACGATCTTGTCGAAGGGTTTTTCCGCGTGGCGTGAGCGGGGCTCGTGGTCTTTGGGCCAAATCGGGTTTCCCGTTTCTCCGAATCGGACGCCCGTTCTGCCCTAGTCCGCAAAAGCTGGGCACGATAGCGTTTTCTATTCATTTGCCTTTTACTACATCTGGTGTGCGTGTGGGGCGTGTGCACGTGCGTGTACTTGTGCGTGTGTGTACTTGCGCGTGTGTGCGTGCGTGTATTTGGCACGGTAGGGGGCACGGGTGGTGCATCGGCCAGTCAACTCAGTCAGTCGACCCATGGCACCTGCTGGGTCTGCCCCGTGACCTCGTACCAGCGGGCGTTCGACACTTCACGTGCACATAGCCCGGCACAAGCGCCGTGGTGACGTCACCGCCACTTAGTGGCGAATGGCGGCTGTTGTTGTGTGTACCTGTAGGGGGCACTGTAGGGGGTAGAGCTAGCCGGTACATCTACCGGTTATCTCAGCCAACCCATGGCACCTACAGGGTCTGTCCGGTGACCTGCTGTCAGCGAGCCTTCGACGCTTCACGTGGCCTCAAAGTGCACCTGGCCTGGCACAGGAGCCGTGGTGACGACTTGTACGTGTGTGTACTTGTACGTGTGTGTGTGTACGTGCGCATGTGTGTGTGTACGTGCGCATGTGTGTGTGTACGTGCGCATGTGTGTGTGTACGTGCGCTTGTGTGTGTGTACGTGCGCGTGTCTGTACGTGTATGTGCGCGTGTGTGTATGTGCACGTGTACATGTGTGTGTGTAAGTGCGCGTGTACGTGTGTGTGTGTACGTGCGCGTGTGTGTACGTGCACGTGTATGCGCGCGTGTGTGTGTACGTGCGTGCGCGTGTGTACGTGCGCGCGTGTGTGTGTGTACGTGTGCGTGTGTGTACGTGCGTGTGTGTATACGTGTGTGTGTACGTGCGCGTACGTGCGTGTGTACGTGCGTGCGTGTGTACGTGCGTGTGTGTGTACGTGCGCCGCGTGCGCGTGTATACGTGCACGTGCGCGTGTGTACGTGCGCGTGTGTGTGTGTGCGTGTGTGTGTACGTGCGCGTGTGTGTGTGTGTGTGCGTGCGTGTTCCGCGTGTGGCGACCCGAGTTTAACACCGGTGACAATTCTCTGAACCCGTCCTGGGCCTCGTTCGGCTCTGCCACAAATGAGTACCCGGTGCGATGTGTGAACATCGCCACTAGGGAGACAAAGGCGGCCGGGCGTGGTGCTGGCCACCCACCCCCTCGTGTGCCACAGTGCCGGCCTTCATAGGGGCGGCATCTCGCTAACAGCCCCCCAGAGTCTGTTGAGGCTACACGGGGGATCTTTGTCTTTCTATTCTCTCCCCCTGTTCTGCGATGGGTTTCTTCCGGGTTCTGCGGTTTCCTCCCACAGCCAAAAAATAAAAACCCCCAAGAATGTACTGAACTAAACTAAAGTAAAGATTTTTCATAATAGTGCTTTTTGGGTAAGGTTCCGTCGGTATAGATGTGGTGATACAGCGACTTGGTAAAGGTTTGTCACGTAAACAAAACGTGCCGTACCAGCACATCGGTGTATTTAAGACCTAAACTGGGGGAGGATTTGTCCGTAACTCTGTGGCTGTTGCCTGATGATGCTGGCTGCAGCTGTTGTTGTTGTAATTGGCGGCGAAACGTCACGGTACTCAGATTGTAAATGTTTTAGTGGGTTTACTACACTACACTATACACTACACTATACACTACACTATACACTACACTACACTATACACTACACTATACACTACACTATACACTACACTACATTTGTAAATGTTGTAGTGAGTTTGATCTCCAACACGCAACCGGTTAGTGCTGAACGAGTGGCGAATTGACATGTTCTGTTTACGTGACAAACCTTACTAATTGGCTGTGTCAGGTGGTGGTGGTGGTGGGTCCATATTTACACAATATAACCCACAAACCTCCATTATGGATAATATTGATCGCGAAAGCCTACATGTCAAACTAATTAATTTGTATTTTACCAGGTAAGGCCCACTGAGCGAAATAGCTTTTTTATCCCAAAGCGATAGCTCATCATCATCGTCATCATCACGTGGACATTCATAGCAGCCAAATACTCTGAACGCGCGACGTTGATTCTAAATTTGTCGGGGGGGGTGGGGGGGAGGGGAACCGAAGGACCGTGAGAAAAATCTACGCGACCACCGCAGGTGTTGAGGTCAAGATAGAACCCACATGCATACCAGACGAAGTAGTTAACATCTCCTAGCCACCGTGGCTTTGACCAAAGCAAACCCAATTCCGCAAAAATTTACTTTCGTCTCGCGACCGCGAAAGCTTGGAACTTCCCTCCTGAGAAGGAGTCGTGAGACTTACACGGTGGCCTGGAGATGTTGACTACCTCGCCTGGTATACAGGAGGTCGTGGGTTCAATCCCGACCCTGACGCCTGCTGCTGTATATCTGGAGTTTGAGTGTCTCTCTCTCATCATCATCACCACGGTGGCTAGGAGATGTTGACTACCTCGCCTGGTATACAGGAGGTCGTGGGTTCGATCCCGATCCTGACGCCTGCTGCTGTATATTTGGAGTTTGAGTGTCTCTCTCTCATCATCATCACCACGGTGGCTAGGAGATGTTGACTACCTCGCCTGGTATACAGGAGGTAGTGGGTTCAATCCCGACCCTGACGCCTGCTGTAGATTTGGAGTTTGAGTGTCTCTCTCTCATCATCATCACGGTGGCTAGGAGATGTTGACTACCTCGCCTGGTATACAGGGGGCAATGCCGGGGGGATCATTGTCTGTCGTGCGACCGTGTCCCCTCGTCTCAGTTACATCTTCCGGCTGAGCTGCACGAGGCTGGGCCAGTGGGCGATCGGCTACGTGACGGTGGACGGCAACATCCTGCAGACGATCCCCCACAACAAACCCCTCTTCCAGGCCCTGCTGGACGGCTACCGCGAGGGATTGTGAGTGACGCACGGACACGCACGCACGGACGCACGGACACGCACGGACGCACGCATGCACACAAAGACAGAGATAGTTTTAAAGGCCGAGTCAACCCTCAGGTGATCTCCACCGGTGGCGTGTCGACGGTGGTGGCCTTGAGCGGGAATCGAACTCGGGCCGCTGGGTTCGTAGCGCTAACTGCTGGCACTACCTCTCCCCACACACACACACAAAGACAAAGATCCCCCGTATAGCCTTAACAGGCTGGCGGGGGCAAGTGCTGTTAGCGAATAAAAGCCCCTATGAAGGCCGGCACCGCACACGAGGGGGTGGGTGTGACCAGCACCACGCCCGAGCCGCCTTTGTCTCCCCAGCGGCGATGTTTACTGCACACTAGCACCAGGTACTCATTTGAGGCTGAGTCGACCTAGGGGAGGCCCAGGACCGGTTCAGATAATCGTCACAAGTGTCGGTGGGGGCCGTGAGCGGGAATCGAACTCGGGTAGGCGGGTCCGTAGCGCAGCACCGCTAATCGCGACACTACCGCTACAAAGACGAATACACAGGTCACCTGTATAACCTGAAAAGACTGTTGGGGCAAGTGCTGTTAGCGAGCACCTATTAAGGCCGGCATGGCACACCCTCACACAGACACAAACACACACACGCTGACACTCTCACAGACACACACACGCTGACACTCTCACACACACACACGCTGACACTCTCACACACACACACACGCTGACACTCACGGACACACACACGCTGACACTCTCACACACACACACGCTGACACTCACGGACACACACACGCTGACACTCTCACACACACACACGCTGACACTCACGGACACACACACGCTTACACTCTCACACACACATACGCTGACACTCACGGACACACACATGCTGACACTCTCACACACACACACGCTGACACTCTCACACACACACACGCTGACACTCACGGACACACCGACCATTCGCCACTATGTGACGGTGACGTCACCACGGCGCCTGTGCCAGGCCATGTGCACCCTGAGGCTACGTGAAGTGCCGAACGCTCGCTGGCAGGAGGTCACGGGGCAGACCCAGGTGCCATGGATCGACTGACTGTGATGAGTGGCCGATGCACCTCCTGTGCCTCCTACTGTGCCAACTTGCTGTGTCTTAGCCGCCCGGCGCTCCGCTCGTTGTTGTGAGCGTCGCTCCTCCGCCCTCCGTTGTCGTTGGAGGGCGACTGCCTCCAACTGCCCAGTAGCGTCCTTCACGAGCCTCCTCCACAGAGGCCGGTCTTGACACTGCTGGTACCAGTCGTCAGCAAGTCCACTCAGCTCCACGTCCTCCCGTAACGCATCAGTCCACACACTCACTCACTCAACTCGTTCCCACCCCCCGCGTGTCTGTGCCAGTTACCTCTTTCCGGACGGACGGAATCTCAATCCGGATCTGACTGGCTTGTGTGAGCCTGCACAGCACGATCACATAAAGGTCACGCAGGTAAGGTCAAATACGCACCGGGTATCCGTGTGTGTGTGTGTGAGTGTGCGCGCGCGTGTGTACGTTAGTGGTAGTGCTAGTGGTTAGCACGCCGTGCTACGAACCTGACTACCCGGGTTCGATTCCAGCCCACGGCCAGCACCTGTGACGATTATCTGAAACCGGTCCTGGGCCTCCCCTAGGTTGACTCAGCCTCAAATGAGTACCTGGTGCAGTGTGCAAACGTCGCCACTGTGGGAGACGAGGGCGGCCGGGCGTGGTGCTGACCAAACCATCCACTCGTGTGCCATGACCGGCCTTCATCGGTGCCACTCGCTAACAGCAACAGTCATACACGAGGGGTTCTTTGCCTTTATGCGTGTGCATGTGTATGCGCCACACACGTGTTTGTTCGTCTGTGGGTTCGTTCTTAGCCGTGGGTCAACACCTGCAGTCCATCATCGGTTATCCGACAGGTGTCAGGGGGAATGGGGGTGCCGGATTAAACAAAAAAAATCGCCAGAATTTTAAATAGATGATTTTTGCACATTTAGGTTTTCTGTGTGTTTGTGTTTTTTTAGCTGTTTAAAATTTCATAATACAGGGTTTTTTCGCGTAAATATATCAGTAAATCCGCCACCACCCGACACAGCCAACTTAGTAAGGTTTGTCACGTAAACAGAACGTGCCAATTCGTTACTAGTACAGCACTAACCGGTGTGTTGGCTTTGCTCTCCTGTATTATGGATGATATTGGTCGCGAAAGCCTACGTGTGAAACCATTTTAAATTTGTTTAATACCTGAAATTGGCATAAAGAGACACAAATAAATTTCCTACTGTAAAAAGTTACCGTATTTTACCGTACTTACCACTACAATCTCGAAGACTCTGCATCACTGGGTCACGTATGTAGCACTGCTACCACTACTCTCCTGTTTCAACACTACCACGATGTGTGTCTGATGATCGCCCAGAATGGTCACGGCCGTTTGTCGCGGTTTCGCGAGACCGGCCCGGGATGGGCAGATAATGCTGGAGCAGGCCGGATAATCGACGATCAGCTGTGTGTGTGTGCCAATGTGCATACACACATCCACTTGCGCATATGTATACATGGGCTACCTTATCTATTTACGTATGTGTGTTGAGCTTCCTTCGCACTTAACGTATATGGGGGAGGCCAGGTTCCGCATCGACCGGCCGTGAATGTCGGTTAACTCCTGAGTCTGTGTCCGTGACCTCCTGCCCGGAGCGAGGCTTCCACACTTAACGTGATTGCCTCGAAGTGCACCTAGGCTGGCACGAGCGCCGTCGAGATATTGTCGTTATGATTTGTACGCTGGAACTCCTCCTGACGATCGCCCCTGTTAACGACTATTCGCTTAACGACTTATGGGTTTTCGATTTGAAGCTTTCGTGACTGCAAGGATTCATCTTCTTTGGTTCTTTCGGTAAAGTCACGTACTTTACCGAAAGAACCAAAGAAGACATGGGTTGACAGGTTTGGAGAGAGATAGAGGGAGAGAGAGAGATATATAGGGAGGAGACGTTGCTGTTAAACCTTTATAAGTGCCCTGCCTTATTACAGACCAATTCAGACCTTATTGGGCTCACCCCGTGCACTTTTAAATTTCAACGTTCATCCAACAAAGTCCCATCACAAGGGAGAAACACATAAAAACAAGTATACAATTTTATTTTTTATTTTGTTGCCCGCATTGAAACGGCTGTATTTCACATGGACCTGGAAACTAAATTTCCCTGTACAGGAATACAGGGTTAACCGTATGGGTTGACAGGTTTGTTGTACTAACCTGAAGCTTGCAACTGTAAGGGTTGGGGCCTTACTCCCCAACAACTACCGTTCCCAACACATACGTGCACACACACACACACGCAGTTATACACACAAGACAAAGATTCCCCCGGTATAGCCTTCACAGACTTGTGGGGCAAAGTGCCGTTAAGCAAGCAGCACCTATGAAGGCCGGCACGCGACACGAAGGGGGTGGGTGGCCAACACCATGCCCAGCCGCCTTTGTCTCCCCCGGTGACGATATTTACACACCTAGAGGAGGACCAGGGACCGGTTCAGATAATCGTCACCGGTGTTAGCCGTGAGCGGGATACAAACTCGGGTCATCAGCCGGGTTCGTAGGGCAACGTAGCTCGCCGCTACACCGCCGCTCCCCATCTCGACACGCGGACACGCGGACGTTCGCTCGCTCACCCCACCCTCTTGTGTCCCCTGCAGGAGCAGTACGAGCTGTACTGCGAGATGGGATCCACGTTCCAGCTGTGCAAGATCTGCGCGGAGAACGACAAGGACGTCAAGATTGAGCCGTGCGGTCACCTCATGTGCACGTGCTGCCTCACAGCCTGGCAGGTGAGACTCGGGGAGACCGGGACTGGAGGGTCAGAGTCTCGAATGGGACTCCGGGAGACCGGGTCTCTGGGTCAGACACTCCACTGAGACTTGCGGAGACCAGGATTAAGACTTGCGGAGACCAGATCTCGGGGTCAGAATCCTGATTTACAATTCCGGGAAACCGGAATTCCGGGTCTAGGAATGGGAGGTCAAGTGGTGATCACACCCATGATGTGTAGGCCTGAGATGGATTGCCGCATCACAGGACCGTGCCCTTCTCTCCTCTCTTCCCTTCCCCTGCCCTCTCCTCGCCTCCCCTGCCCTTTCCTCCACTCCACTGCCCTGCCCCCTCCCCAACCTCTCCTCCGCCGCTCCCCCAGGAGTCGGACGGGCAGGGCTGCCCGTTCTGCCGCTGCGAGATCAAGGGCACGGAGCCCATCGTTGTCGACCCCTTCGACCCGAGGGGCGAGAGGTCGCGACCTTTGGCCGCCGCCATCGCCTCCTCGGCCCTCGCCTCCGGGGGTCACGGGGGCCAGGGGTCGCAGGGAGGCCACGGCGGCCTGCGGGTGTGCGGCCTCGACTCGGCGTCGAACCTGGGCTTCGAAGGCGACGAGGACGACGACCTGATGATGATGGCGTCGGCGCGCGATGACACCTCGTCGCTCGTCATCAGCCGCATGGCTGCTCGCTCGCGGGTGAGTCGGGGCGCCGCGGTGGCTAGGAGATGTTAACTACCTCGCCGGGTATGCAGGAGGTCGTGGGTTCGATCCCGACCCTGACGCCTGCCGTATATTTGAAGTTTTTGGTGTCTTTCTCCCCATGGTCGCGTGGATTTTTCCTCCGGGTCCTCGATTTAAAATTGCATCACCACAGTTATTTGGCTGCTGATATACATTTCCACACGGTGATGACGACAGTGATGATGAGCCCACTTCGTCGAGCTACCGCTTGTGATAGCCAGCGTCGCTTCTGGAAAAAAAGAGCTACACGGGGGGGACGCTGTCGGGCAGCAGGGCCCTCTAGCGGCCCCCAGCAGGGCCCTCCTGCGGCCCCCAGCAGGGCCCTCCTGCGGCCCCCAGCAGGGCCCTCTAGCAGCCCCCAGCAGGGCCCTCCTGCGGCCCCCAGCAGGGCCCTCCTGCGGCCCCCAGCGGGGCCCTCCTGCGGCCCCCAGCAGGGCCCTCCTGCGGCCCCCAGCAGGGCCCTCCTGCGGCCCCCCGGGAAGCCGGCCGACCGACCAAGCGGTGGCGGTGGGGGCGACGAGGAAGTGGTGATTGTCATCGTCACGGCCAGGCGCGCCGAAACGCTGCCGCCACTCGCGCCTCGCCCGACGCTGGTGCCCGCGCGTGTGTGTGTGTGTGTGCGTGTGTGTGTGTGTGTTGTGTGTTGTGAAGTTGAGTGCCCGCGCGTGTGTGTGTGTGTGCGTGTGTGTGTTGTGTGTTGTGAAGTTGAGTGCCCGCGTGTGTGTGTGTGCAGTTGAGTGCCCGCGTGTGTGTGTGTGTGTAGTTCAACACCCACCCACATGCGTGTGTATGGTTCAACACCCGCGCGTGTGTGTGTGTTGTGTGTGCAGTTGAGTGCCCACGTGTGTGTTTATCTCAGTGCCCACGCGCGCGGCTTCTTGTTTTCTGTGCGTTCCGAGTTGACATTAATAATATAATCATCACACATCACGTGCTGACTTAATGTTAATTCACGGCTGTTACTCCCCCCCCCCCCCACCTGCCCCCCCCCCTGCCCCCCCCCATCCCCCCAAACCCAGGTGGAGCGGCCGTCCCCGCAGCCCTCGCCGCTCACCTCTCCCATCATGCACCGCCGGCGGCCGCCCCCCGAGCCGCTCGTGTCGGAGTTGCCCCCCGTGCCCCCCCGCCTCGACCTCCTCCTCGCCCGCACCGCCGGGGGCGGGGGGGGCTCCCCCGCCGTCTCCCCGGCACTCTCACCCAAGGTGAGACGCCGAGGGGGTGACGCCGAGGGGGTGACGCCGAGGGGGTGACGCCGAGGGGGTGACGCCGAGGGGGTGACGCCGAGGGGGTGACGCCGAGGGGGTGACGCCGAGGGGGTGACGCCGAGGGGGTGACGCCGAGGGGGTGACGCCGAGGGGGTGACGCCGAGGGGGTGACGCCGAGGGGGTGACGCCGAGGGGGTGACGCCGAGGGGGTGACGCCGAGGGGGTGACGCCGAGGGGGTGACGCCGAGGGGGTGACGCGAGGGACGACCGTGTGGGCGTTGACGAGATGGGTGATGAATGGGGTGAAATGGGGGGCGGGGGGGCCGTAGCTCCCTTCGAGGCAGAAGGGGGTCAGGGGGTCAGGATCGAACCCACGACCCCCCGCATAGCAGGCGAGGTAGTTAACATCTCCTAGCCACCGTGATGATGGTGATGAGAGAGAGACACCGCAAACTCCAAATATACAGCAGCAGCAGCAGCAGGCGTCAGGGTCGAGATCGAACCCACGACCTCCTGTAGACCAGGCGAGGTAGTTAACATCTCCTAGCCACCGTGGCGCTCCAACACTCGCCGCAGTCGGGGCGCAGGAGTGAGGCGTGGGGGGGGGGGTGGGTGCAGTGCGGTGGGTGGGGTGGGGGGGGGGTGACATGAGGGTGCGAGCGATGGGCAACATCTGTGGAGCGTCGCAATATTTTTAGACCGGGGCTTCTAATAACCGGCCGCCCACGGACCGCAACGTCCGGCCCAGCGAAGGCCCCCCCCCCCCCCGGGAGTGGCTCACCAAGAAACTAAAATGGGCACCCGCTTGTACGAGCGTCAGCAATGGGGCGATGGAGGGGGCCGCCGTGGGCGTCGTGGCGCTGGCCCCCCCCCCACCCCACCCCCACCCCGTCGTGTTGCCACAGCGCCGGCCTTCATCGGTGCCGCTGCTACTCGCAAACGGCACTTGCCCCGCACGGCCTGTTGAGGCTACACGGGGGGTGGGGGGGGGGGGGATCTTTTGTCTCGTGTATGTACTTACGGGTTGCTCTTGAAAGAGCTTCGTGGCTCTGCGGGCTTTGATCGACGGGAGCCACGCTCGTGATCCTGTCTGCGTGTCTGTCCGTTGAACTTCTTTCGCGCACCGTTACGGTTCCCGACCGTGCTCAACGGAGACGCGGAAAAAACATTGCGCGTGAAAACGTGTTTGTGTGTTTGTGCGTTCTCTCCCCCACACCCCCCCTGCTCCGCATGGCTTTCCTCTGGCTCCTCCCGTTGCCTCCAATGGCTAAAGAAGAAAATAGTTTCGTGTTTGATTCCCGTGCGGGCGATTTCCGGCAAGCAAAAATAACAGGAAGAGCCATTTTTTTTATTTTCTCCAAATCCCGTAAAGTAAAAACAACTCGGTCTTTCAAGCGCCTCGATTCCAACTTTGGTGAATGCGAGAGACGTTTTGTCCCGAATAAATAAACGTCACGATGGCCAGCGGCTTCTGGCTCTCCATCTAACAAAGACAGTCACCGCGTCGCGCTTCTGCGGCCGTCTGGAACGTGCTCTTCACTGGGAGCTATGATGCCACTTCTAAATCATCATCTAGACTGACAGTAATTTTGTTTTTTAACTGCTGCTTGTTGTTTTTTTAGTTTGTTGTACTTCCCCCTGCGTACCTCCGATTCTGCATACAGGGACTCCTCTACTTACGAACAAACCTGTCCGTATGTCCAGTTGTCTGTTCAGACCGAGGAGTCTTAAGTTCAACTTCCGCGCAAATAGATGGCAGTGGTGGCATCTACATCTGCAGAACGTGAAGAACCAGTGGCATCTACATCTACAGGAGATTATACAACTTTCAAAGCCATTCCCCCGTGTTTAGTGTACACGCCATACAACGCGTTTGGAATCGACAGGAGTAAAGTTGGACTTATGAACAAATCGACTTATGATCAGTTTCAGACCTCTGGAACCTAACTCATGCGTAAGGAGAGGAGTCTCTGTACAGTAGATACTCGATTATCCGCACTAATGATGGGGAGGACAGCCGCTGAGAATTAAAAATTGTGGATAATCCGAAAATAACCATTTTCTGCTGACCTCCATGCCAACAACCATTATTATAGGTATAGATTGTGTTTAAGTTAAGAAAAAGTAGTTTGATAATGAACAAAAAAAATTGTAGGAAAGTTTAATAAATTTTAACTCAATCAATGATAGGATAAATCACAAATCGACTTACGAACAGGCCTCGTTCGTAAGCAGAGGGAGTCCTCTGTACAATGCAGGTGGCCAACCCCTGGGCTAATAACGATCGGTTCGCCCTCTAGCGGCTATGATTGGAATTGCCACTCAATAATCCCCTTTCATTTGAACGGAGGTGCAGTAGTTACTGCGTGGTTTTGGGACGGAAGCGAGTTGGGGATTCCATTCCTAATTCCTAGGCTCTCTCAGAGTCGCCATTCATTTCAATGGAGACGTGTGAACGAATGGAATATGATGACATCTTGTCCATAATAGATTTTTTTTTTTGGGTTCGATTGCATAAATATAAAAGTGTTGTTAAACTCGCCACCACCCGACACAGCCAAATTAGTAAGGTTTGTCACGTAAACAGGGCATGGCAATTCGTTGCTGGTACAGCACACCGGTGTGTTGGAGAGCAAATCCACAACATTAACAATTTTGACTACTCAGATTGTAAATGCTGTGGATTTACGAATTGGCACGTTCTGTTTACGGGACATACACTTAATAATTCATTTGTTGTGTCGGGTGGTGGAGGCTTTAACGACACATTTATATTCACGCGACCTAACCCAAAAAAAAACCTTTTATGGATAATATTGGTCGCGGAAGCCCTACTACTTACTACTACTACGTGTTAAATTGATGACATGTTGATGACTCTCTGTCTCCTCCTCCTCCCTCCCCTCCTCATCAGGGCTCCCCGAACGCCGCACGCAAACCCGACGCCTTCCCTCCGGCCGTGACCCCCCGTGCCCCCCGCCACCACCAGCCGCCCCCCATCGGGGGGGGCGGCTGCTCCTCTCCCTCGTCGGCGGCAGCGGCGACGGCAACGACCGCCACCCCCCATCATCACCACCACCACCACCACCACGGCCCACCGCCCCCGATGTCCTCCTCCTGCTCCTTCCCCGCCTCCCTCTGCCCGACGTCGTCCGCCGCGTCCTCCTCGTCGTCCTCCTCCTCGTCGTCTTCGTCGCACCAGCGGCGCTCCTACCACTTCGAAGTCGCGCCCGGCTCCTTCCCGACCGCCCAGATGTTCCACCACGAGTTCCACGAGCTGCCTCCCGTCCATCCGCCGCCGCCGCCGCCGCCCCCATCCCGGCCCGTCCCTCCGACCCCGCCGGCGAGCGTGGCGGGGTCGGAGCCGGCCGTCGCGGACTCGGCCGGAAGGGCCTCGCCCTGCGGTCGCGTGGGCGGCACCACCGCGGCGGCTGCGGGCACCGCGGCTGGCACCGCGGCGGGCGTGCAGCATCAGCAGCAGCCGGCTCAGGTGAGGTGCTAGGCCTTTCCCGCCTCTCGCGTTGGGATGGGCTCGAGCGTGAGTTGAGTCCTTAGCTCCGGTCACCATGAGCGACGCCGATGCCGGCTGGCCGTCCGAACGAAGGCAGTGGTCACCGCGGCTCCTTGTGGCCGTCTGGAACGCGCTTCTTCCTTCCGACGTTGGGAAGCCATTGGGAGCTACGCTGCACTTTTAAATCGCCAAGGTTGACCAACTCGTTTATTTGAAACTGCTTGTTGTTGTTGTTGTGTTAGTTTGTTGTCCTTGCCCCCCCCCCCCCCCCCCCCCCAGCGGACCTCCGATTAGCGCGGTTGGCTACGTACGGCGGTGCGAAAGAAGATCAGCATACGTACAACATGCATGCAATTACGTTAGTAATAATAACGAGAATTATTTAGATTTGTGCCGCCGCCGCCGCACGGTGCCCGCTCATCGCTCACATAGAGAGAGGGAGGGAGGGAGGGCGACTCGGAGACGCTGGGAAGAGGGGGAGGGAGGAAGAGGAGGGGGAGATGGAGGAGGAGTGGGTGGAGGAGGTGGAGGAGGAGGCGGAGGAGGAGGGGGATGTGGAGGAGGAGTGGGAGGAGGTGGAGGAGGAGGGAGGGAGGAGGAGGGGGAGGTGGAGGAGGAGTGGGATGAGGTGGAGGAGGAGGGGGGAGGGAGGGAGGAGGAGGAGTGGGAGGAGGAGGAGTGGGAGGAGGGGAGGAGGAGGAAGAGGAGGGGGATGTGGAGGAGGAGGGGGAGGAGGAGGGGGAGGAGGAGGGGGAGGAGGAGGGGAGGAGGAGGAGGGGGGAGAGGGAGGAGGAGGGGAAGGGGGAGGAGGGGGAGGAGGCGTAGGGGGAGGAGGAGGGGAGGAGAAGGAGAAGGAGGAGGAGGGGGAGGAGGAGGGGGAGGGAGGGGAAGGGAGGGAGGGAGGAGAAGGAGGGGGAGGAGGACCCGCGGGCTAGCAGAAGGCAGGCACACGATCGAGATGGCACGAACAATCGCCCAAGCTCTGGGAAACGTTCTTCGATATTAAGGCGTCATCGGCCGATTAATGCGACGCTTGTCTTACTCAGTAAGACCTCGCCGAGTTTTCTCGACTGTTTTTTCAACAGGGTGCTGACAGGCTTTTTAAGTCCGTGGGGGGTGGGAGATGATTGCTGCTGCTGCTGCACACGATCCCAATTGCATGATTTTCAAATATTTTTTATTCTTGAGCACTGAGATGTGTTGTGTTGTGTGTGTTGTGTGTGTGTGTGTTGTGTGTGTGTTGTGTGTGTGTTGTGTGTGTTGTGTGTGTTGTGTGTGTGTTGTGTGTGTGTTGTGTGTGTGTTGTGCGTGTGTTGTGTGTGTGTTGTGTGTGTGTTGTGCGTGTGTTGTGCGTGTGTTGTGTGTGTGTTGTGTGTGTGTTGTGTGTGTGTTGTGCGTGTGTGTGTGTTGTGTGTGTTGTGTTGTGTGTGTGTGTTGTGTGTGTGTGTTGTGTGTGTTGTGTTGTGTGTGTGTTGTGTGTGTGTGTTGTGTGGTGTGTGTGTTCCGTGCGTTGCGCGTGTGTTGCGTACGCAGGGGAAGCTGTGCCCTCAAAGCTTCAATGACTACGAGCTGCCCACGGCTCCCCCAGCACAGCCCACGGTGTTGATGTAAGGCTTCACCGGTGCATCGGAACCACGCGTGTGCCTGTCCACTGCCAAAGGGTCAAGTGCTGTTAGCACTGGGGAGGCAAAGGCGGCCGGACGTGGTGTTGGCCACGCCACCCCCTCAATGTGCGTGTGTGCCGTGCCGGCCTTAATAGGTGCTCGCCGAACGGCACTTGCCCCCAGCGGTAACGTGTTTGTGTTGTCCGCAGGTCGCTTGTTGGCATTGTCGTGACGAATGTCATTGTTGTTTTTGCGGTACGTGCCGTGTACGCGACTGCCGCGTGCGACCCGGGTTCGGTTCCCGCTCACGGCCACCGGCACCGGTGACGGTTATCTGAAGCGGCCCCGAGCCGCCCCCAGGTCGAGCCGGCCTCAAACGAGCACCTGGTCCTTGCTAACAGCACCGAACCCCAACAGTCTCTTAAGGCTACACAGGGTGATCTTTCATTCTTAGCTCTTTCGGTGAATTACTGCAGTCACGAAAGCTTTAAATCAAAATTTAGGGTGATCTTTGTGCAGTGTGTGTGTGTGTGAGCGGCGTGTGTGTGTGTGTGAGCGGCGTGTGTGTGTGTGTGTGAGCGGCGTGTGTGTGTGTGTGTGAGCGGCGTGTGTGTGTGTGTGTGGCTGCATGTACATATGATCTATGCCATACCTGTCAATTCCTTATCAGTGCCCTACCTTATTACAGACCAACTCAGACCTTATTGGTCACCCCGTGCCCCTTATAAATCTTAACGTTCATCTTACAAAGTCCCATCACAAGGGAGAGAAACACAAACAAATAGACGATTTTTTGTTATTTTTTTGCCCGTATCGAAACGGCCTGATAACCCAATTTCCCTGTACAAGAATACGGGGCAAGCCGTACAGGTATGCATGCTATGCAGGCACGCCATGGGGGGTTGTGTGTGTGTGTTGGCGTCTATCTTGCATCACGGTTTACCGGCGAGCAGACTTTGCTTCCTATCGGCCTCGCTATCAAATTCCATGCTAGGCAAATTACTCAACAGCACTTACCCCCACCTCCACCCCCCCACGCTCCATTAAGGCTACGTGGGGGATCTCTGTCTCTGACCCGCACGCGTGCATGTGTGTGTGTTCCCCCTAGCTCAGCGTGTGTGTGTGTTACCCCTGGCTCAGCGTGTGTGTGTGTGTTACCCCTGGCTCAGCGTGTGTGTGTTACCCCTGGCTCAGCGTGTGTGTGTGTTACCCCTGGCTCAGCGTGTGTGTGTGTGTTACCCCTGGCTCAGCGTGTGTGTGTGTGTTACCCCTGGCTCAGCGTGTGTGTGTTACCCCTGGCTCAGCGTGTGTGTGTGTTACCCCTGGCTCAGTGTGTGTGTGTGTGTTCCCACTGGCTCAGTGTGTGTGTGTGTTCCCACTGGCTCACCGTGTGTGTGTGTGTGTTCCCCCTGGCTCAGCGTGTGTGTGTGTTACCCCTGGCTCAGCGTGTGTGTGTTACCCCTGGCTCAGCGTGTGTGTGTGTTACCCCTGGCTCAGTGTGTGTGTGTGTGTTCCCACTGGCTCAGTGTGTGTGTGTGTTACCCCTGGCTCAGCGTGTGTGTTTGTGTGTTCCCACTGGCTTAGCGTGTGTGTGTGTGTGTTCCCACTGGCTCACCGTGTGTGTGTTACCCCTGGCTCAGCGTGTGTGCGTGTGTGTGTTCCCATTGGCTCAGCGTGTGCGTGTGTGTTACCCCTGGCTCAGCGTGTGTGTTTGTGTGTTCCCACTGGCTTAGCGTGTGTGTGTTCCCCCTGGCTCAGCGTGTGTGTGTGTGTTCCCCCTGGCTCAGCGTGTGTGTTCCGACTGGCTCAGCGTGTGTGTGTGTGTTCCCCCTGGTTCAGCGTGTGTGTGTTCCCCCTGGCTCAGCGTGTGTGTGTTCCCCCTGGCTCAGCGTGTGTGCGTGTGTGTGTGCATGCGTGTGCGTGTGTGTGCGTTCCCCTATGGCTCAGCGTGTGTGTGCGTGTGTGTGTGCGGCAAAACAACCCCCTACCTCCTCACGGTGCCGGACGGGCAACTCTGTCGTGGACAGCGCTGTGGGGGGAGATCCAATTCTGATTGGCTCCTCCCCTCATGGCATATGTGTCCACCACAGGGGCTAAACGGGGGCTCTGGACGGGTGCGAGGGGCTGGTAACCCCTTCACCTTCAATTAATTACCACAAAACCACGAATTAAACTGAAATATGTAACAAATAAGCTTGTGCCGGAGGCCCCGGGGGCCAGGCGTCTATGACGTCTCCTGGCCAAACCCCAATTGGCGGAGCCAGGAGATTGAATACCTACCCTCGGGGCTACTCCAGAAACAACGAAAAGCCACTACGGGTGGCCACGTGGAATGTTCGAACGCTCACTGCAGAGGAGAGGCTGCCACTCCTCTGTCGGGAGCTGGACCGGTACCGCCTGGATCTATGCGGCATTCAGGAGGTCCGGTGGACCGGCTCTGGCTCCTGCCACCATGAGGGGTGGACAGTCCTCTACTCGGGGCAGCAGACTGCCAAACAACAGGGTGTGGGTCTTCTTTTGAACAAAAGAATGAAGGGGGCGTGGGAGCGTGGCGGTGAGGTGTGGGAAGCTGTAAGCCCCAGGCTACTTTGGGCTCGCCTTCCCATCAACCGGAGGCGAGGAATGGTGGTCGTGGTTACTTATGCCCCCACCGAAGATGAACATCCGTGGAGGGATGCAGGCAAAGCCGATGAGTCAGATGCCTTCTATGACCTCCTGTCACAGGTGCTGGCTAAAGTGGCCCCTCGGGATAGAGTCATCATGTTGGGTGACTTCAATGCCCGAGTTGGTCATGATACTGGCACCTGGTCTGGAGTGATTGGAGGGCATGGGCCAGATCAGCTCAATAACAACGGTAGGAGGCTGCTAGATTCTTGTGCAGCCCATGGGCTTGTAATTACCAACACGCTGTTCCGGCATCGGCGCATCCACACAACATCATGGATGCATGCCGGGTCCAAGCAAGAACATCTGCTGGACTACATAGTGACGGACCAGCGAATGCGAGCCCATGTCCTTGACACCAGGACCTACCGTGGAGCTGATCTGCCCTCTGACCATCGACTAGTCATCTGTAAGATGCGCCTGCCATTCTTCCACTCCGGTGGTGGGTGTACACCCAGGACCCCATTCCAACCTAAAGTGGCCTGGTCTCAGTTATCTGATGAAAGTTGCAAGCGAGAATTTCATCATCGCTTGCGGCTGGGATTGGCATCGTCCCCGACTCCTCCTGATGTCGAGGGTAAATGGGCGAGGTTTAGGACTGTGACTCATGCAGCTGCAATGGCTGCTTTGGGTACGCGGTTCAGACCCCCCCAGAGACCCTGGCTGACAGAGGAGGTGTTCAGGATGGTTGAGAAAAAGCGACAGGCCCACTGTCATCGGCTACAGAATCCCACGTCAGAGAATGAGGAGGCTTACCGCAGCCTTCGCTCGGAGGTTCGGAGAGCCGTGAGGCGCTGCAAGGATGGGTGGTGGTCGCGGGTTGCTGAGGAGATGGAGTCTGCCTCAGTGGCCCGTGATCACAAATCTCTATTTGACTCCATCAAAAAAGTAACCTGCAGCGCCACACCTATTACCATCATTAGGGGAAAAAACGGTGATCCAATTTCCGACCCCCAGGAACAGGTTCGCAGATTTGCAGAGCATTTCTGTGAGGTCCTGGGGAGGGAAAATCCCTCAGCCAGGAAAACATCGTGGCACAAAGTGAGGATGACCCTGCTGAGGCTGCGGTGCCTCAAATATTGGATGAAGTCACCCCCTGTGAGTGGCTGGCTGAGGTGCCATCTGCTGAGGAAGTATTGAAGGCGATCCGGAGTCTGAGACCAGGAAAGGCAGCGGGCAGAGATGATCTCCCAAGCGAAATGCTGAGGGAGGGTGGCGTTTGTGCACAGACTGCCCTATATGACATCATAACAAGAGTCTGGACCACTGGACGGGTTCCGCAGGATTGGAAGGATGCCCTGGTGGTCCCCCTTTTAAGAAGGGGGACCGCACAGACTGTAACAACTACAGGGGCATCTCACTCCTCAGTGTGCCGGGAAAGGTCCTGGCAAGGATTATTCAGCATCGCCTTGCCAGGCACGCTGAGGAGAGGCTTGCGGAGCCCCAATGCGGTTTCAGGAAAGGGCGGTCCTGCACAGATGCCATATTTTCTGTCCGTCTGCTACAGCAGAGGTGTAGGGAATTCCAACAAGACCTACATCTCTGCTTTATTGACCTGGTCAAGGCCTATGATACCATCAGTAGGCCTGGGCTCTGGGTCGTTCTTCGTGCTTTTGGAGTACCTGACCCTCTGCTCACGATCATTAAGGACCTTCATGATGGTGAGCGGGCCCGGGTAAAACTACGTGGCCGGGAGTCAGAGCCATTCCCTGTACACCTTGGGGTGCGACAGGGATGTCCTCTGGCTCCCACATTATTTAACATCTATTTTGACCACGTAGTTCGTGAAGCCTTCAATTGCTGTACCGGGGGAATCTCCATATGGTACAGATATAATGGGAGGCTAATCGATGCCCGGGTGCGGTCAAGGGATGGCTCGCTTTTGCTCAACCACGTTATGTATGCTGATGATTTGGTAATAGCTGCTCAGTCAGAGGAGGAGTTGGAGACGCTGCTGCTGAGACTGGAGCGTGCCACTAAGAGGTGCGGCCTTACCATCAGCCCCACCAAAACTAAGCACCTGCCTGGGTATTTTGTACCATCGGACACTCCACCCCCACAACTCCCAATCGGTGATGGGGCAGTTGTGGAGAGAGTGGAGAGTTTCCCATACCTGGGCAGTGTGCTTATGACTGGCTCCAGTTTAACAGCAGAGGTCTCACTCCGAATCAATCGAGCGGCAATATCTTTTCATCGGTTGCGTAACGCTGTGTGGAAGCTACCTGGTCTGTCGCTCCGCACTAAGCTTCAGGTCTTCTCGGCCACGGTCATTCCCTCCCTTCTCTACGCTTGCGAAACGTGGACCCCCCTAATGGAACATCTTCGCCGGTTAGAAACATTTAGGCTGGCCTGCCTACGATCCATCCTGGGTTTAACCAGACTGGATTGTGTGAGGAGCTCACAAATCCTTGAAAGATCTGGGCAGGGTCCCATCGGTGAGCTCCTCCGGCAGGCAAGGCTGCGATGGCTGGGTCATGTAGCCCGCATGCCCAGCCACCGCATGCCGAAACAGCTTTTGTTTGGCTGGATTGAGGGGGCTAAGCGGGTGCGGCACGGGCTAGAGAAGAGATGGAGTGATGTGGTACAGGAGGACGTGGAGCTGAGTGGACTTGCCGATGACTGGTACCAGCGGTGTCAAGATCGGCCTCTGTGGAGGAGGCTCGTGAAGGATGCTACTGGGCAGTTGGAGGCAGTCGCCCTCCAACAACAACGGAGGGCGGAGGAGCGACGCTCACAACAGCGAGCGGAGCGCCGGGTGGCTAAAGCACAGCAGGTTGGCACAGTAGGGGGCACAGGTGGTGCATCAGCCAGTCATCTCAGTCAGTCGACCCGTGGCACCTGGGTCTGCCCCGTGACCTCCTGCCAGCGGGCGTTCGACACTTCACGTGGCCTCAGGGTGCACATAGCCTGGCACAAGCGTCGTGGTGACGTCACCGCCACTTAGTGGCGAATGGCGGTTGTTGTTGTTGTTGTGCGTGCCCAGATGCCATATGTTTTGTCCGTCTGCTACAGCAGAGGTGTAGGGAATTCCAACAAGACCTACATCTCTGCTTTATTGACCTGGTCAAGGCCTATGATACCATCAGTAGGCCTGGGCTCTGGGTTGTTCTTCGTGCTTTTGGACTCCCTAACCCTCTGCCAACGATCATTAAGGACCTTCATGATGGTGAGCGGGCCCGGGTAAAACTACGTGGCCGAGAGTCAGAGCCATTCCCTGTATACCTTGGGGTGCGACAGGGATGTCCTCTGGCTCCCACATTATTTAACATCTATTTTGACCACGTAGTTCGTGAAGCCTTCAATAGCTGTACCGTGGGAATCTCCATTTGGTACAGATATAATGGCAGGCTGATCGATGCCCGGGTGCGGTCAAGGGATGGCTCCCTATTGCTCAACCACGTTATGTATACCTGATGATTTGGTAATAGCTGCTCATTCAGAGGAGGAGTTGGAGACGCTGCTGCTGAGACTGGTGCGTGCCACTAAGAGATGGAGCCTTACCATCAGCCCCACCAAAACTAAGCACCTGCCTGGGTATTTTGTACCATCGGACACTCCACCCCCACAACTCCCAATCAGTGATGGGGCAGTTGTGGAGAGAGTGGAGAGTTTCCCATACCTGGGCAGTGTGCTTATAACCGGCTCCAGTTTAACAGCAGAGGTCTCACTCCGAATCAGTCGAGCGGCAATATGTTTTCATCGTTTGCGTAACGCTGTGTGGAAGCTACCTGGTCTGTCGCTCCGCACTAAGCTTCAGGTCTTCTCGGCCACGGTCATTCCCTCCCTTCTCTACGCTTGCGAAACGTGGACCCCCCTAATGGAACATCTTCGCCGGTTAGAAACATTTAGGCTGGCCTGCCTATGATCCATCCTGGGTTTAACCAGACTGGATTGTGTGAGGAGCTCACAAATCCTTGAAAGATCTGGGCAGGGTCCCATCGGTGAGCTCCTCCGGCAGGCAAGGCTGCGATGGCTGGGTCATGTAGCCCGCATGCCCAGCCACCGCATGCCGAAACAGCTTTTGTTTGGCCGGATTGAGGGGGCTAAGCGGGCGCGGCACGGGCTAGAGAAGAGATGGAGTGATGTGGTACAGGAGGACGTGGAGCTGAGTGGACTTGCCGATGACTGGTACCAGCGGTGTCAAGATCGGCCTCTGTGGAGGAGGCTCGTGAAGGATGCTACTGGGCAGTTGGAGGCAGTCGCCCTCCAACAACAACGGAGGGCGGAGGAGCGACGCTCACAACAGCGAGCGGAGCGCCGGGTGGCTAAAGCACAGCAGGTTGGCACAGTAGGGGCACAGGTGGTGCATCAGCCAGTCATCTCAGTCAGTCGACCCGTGGCACCTGGGTCTGCCCCGTGACCTCCTGCCAGCGGGCGTTCGACACTTCACGTGGCTCAGGGTGCACATAGCCTGGCACAAGCGTCGTGGTGACGTCACCGCCACTTAGTGGCGAATGGCGGTTGTTGTTGTTGTTGTGCGTGCCCAGATGCCATATGTTTTGTCCGTCTGCTACAGCAGAGGTGTAGGGAATTCCAACAAGACCTACATCTCTGCTTTATTGACCTGGTCAAGGCCTATGATACCATCAGTAGGCCTGGGCTCTGGGTTGTTCTTCGTGCTTTTGGACTCCCTAACCCTCTGCTAACGATCATTAAGGACCTTCATGATGGTGAGCGGGCCCGGGTAAAACTACGTGGCCGAGAGTCAGAGCCATTCCCTGTATACCTTGGGGTGCGACAGGGATGTCCTCTGGCTCCCACATTATTTAACATCTATTTTGACCACGTAGTTCGTGAAGCCTTCAATAGCTGTACCGTGGGAATCTCCATTTGGTACAGATATAATGGCAGGCTGATCGATGCCCGGGTGCGGTCAAGGGATGGCTCCCTATTGCTCAACCACGTTATGTATACCTGATGATTTGGTAATAGCTGCTCATTCAGAGGAGGAGTTGGAGACGCTGCTGCTGAGACTGGTGCGTGCCACTAAGAGGTGGGGCCTTACCATCAGCCCCACCAAAACTAAGCACCTGCCTGGGTATTTTGTACCATCGGACACTCCACCCCCACAACTCCCAATCAGTGATGGGGCAGTTGTGGAGAGAGTGGAGAGTTTCCCATACCTGGGCAGTGTGCTTATAACCGGCTCCAGTTTAACAGCAGAGGTCTCACTCTGAATCAGTCGAGCGGCAATATGTTTTCATCGTTTGCGTAACGCTGTGTGGAAGCTACCTGGTCTGTCGCTCCGCACTAAGTTTCAGGTCTTCTCGGCCACGGTCATTCCTTCCCTTCTCTACGCTTGCGAAACGTGGACCCCCTTAATGGAACATCTTCGCCGGTTGGAAACATTTAGGCTGGCCTGCCTACGATCCATCCTGGGTTTAACCAGGCTGGATTATGTGAGGAGCTGAAAAATCCTTGAAAGATCTGGGCAAGGTCCCATCGGTGAGCTCCTCCGGCAGGCAAGGCTGCATTGGCTGGGTCATGTAGCCCGCATGCCCAGCCACCGCATGCCAAAACAGCTTTTGTTCGGCCGGATAGAGGGGGCTAAACGGGCGCGGCACGGGCTAGAGAAGAGATGTGGTACAGGAGGACGTGGAGCTGAGTGGACTTGCCGATGACTGGTACCAGCGGTGTCAAGATCGGCCTCTGTGGAGGAGGCTCGTGAAGGACGCTATTGGGCAGTTGGAGGCAGTCGCCCTCCATCAACAACGGAGGGCGGAGGAGCGACGCTCACAACAACGAGCGGAGCGCCGGGTGGCTAAACCACAGCAGGTTGGCACAGTAGGGGGCACAGGTGGTGCACCAGCCAGTCATGTCAGTCAGTCGACCCGTGGCACCTGGGTCTGCCCCGTGACCTCCTGCCCGCGGGAGTTCGACACTTCACGTGGCCTCAAGGTGCATATGGCCTGGCACAAGCATTGTGGTGACGTCACCGCCACTTAGTGGCGAATGGCGGTTATTGTTGTTGTGCGTGTGTGTGTAGCTGTGTGTGCGTGTGTGTGTAGCTGTGTGTGCGTGTGTGTGTGTTCCCCTATGGCTCAGTGTGTGTGTGCGTGTGTGTTCCCCCTGGCTCAGCGTGTGCCCAGATGAGAGGGAGATGCCGGAAGGAGCAGAGGTGGTGGAGCCGCCATCGGTGCCAACCGCCTCCTCCTCCGCCACTGCTGCGTGGGGCGCCTCCTGCCCCAGGTGCTTGCCCACACAGAACCCCACGCGCCCACTCGCAAGCGGTGGCGAGATGTTAACTACCTCGCCTGGTCTACAGGAGGTCGTGGGTTTGATCCCACGGTGGCGAGATGTTAGCTACCTCGCCTGGTATGCAGCAGGTCGTAGGTTCGTTCCTGACCCTGACCCCTGCTGTATATTTGGAGTTTGCGGTGTTTCTCTCTCTCTCCCCCCACATTTAGAATCAACATCACGTGTTCCGAATATTTGGTTGCTATAAATTCCCACGTGATAAGCCACTTGCTCGAGCTATCACGTGTGGCCAGGCCGCTTTTGAAAAAGAGTTACATAGCTCAGTGGGACTTACCTGGTCAAATAAAAATAGTTTAGTCGTTTTTTAGTAAATATCTCAATGGATATGCAGACAATATGCATCTCCTTCATGTGTCCGTCTCGCTACGGAGAGACTCGCGTAGAGATCCATGGACTCGCATAGAGACCCATAGACTCACATAGATACACATCGACTCACATAGAGACCCATAGGCTTATATAGAGACCCATAGACTCACATAGAGACCCATAGAATTACATAGAGACCCATTGACTCGCATAGAGACCCATAGACTCGCATAGAGACCCATAGACTTGCATAGACGCTGACGAGACACTGAATGTCGAAACCGGACGATTTAAGCCAGCGGTTCTTAATCTCTACTGCAGCCTTGCCACCGCCCATTGCTCCTCAATCGTTTAACAACTTGCAATGTTAATAAACACACGGGGGGTTTGATTCAACAAAGTAAATTTTGATTTAAAGCTTTCGTGACTGCAGGGATTCATATTCTTGCTTCTTTCGGTAAAGTCACCACGTAGAAGGGATATAAAACAATAAAATTCTCACGACGTTTCGACTGCAACACAAGCAATCATCATCATGTGTAAAAACCTACGTGCCCCTCGGGTTAATTTGTTGTTGTCGACGATTTACCTTCTAAAAATAAATAAATCTGGCCACGTCTTGCTGCCCCCCAGGAAGGGCATTGGCGGTTCTTCTTCTTCTTCCTCTTCTTCTTCTTAACCCCAGGTGAAGAAGAAGAAGAAGAAGAAGAAGGAGAACCGGCGATTTAAACCATCGCCGGTTTTCGTGGAACCCATCGAAGTCGTTAACCGGGGTTTGTCACGTGGTGGCGGGACGGAGGTCTGCGGGAGGCGCGTTCGTCCGGTTCTCTGTTTTTTTTTCTTCCCTACGCTGGCGGAGGGTGTGGGGCGGTGATGATGGCGCGTGGGGGTTAAGGGGTTACACGGAGCAGTGGGTAGACCCCGGCCCATTATCTACGCTTGACTCGGGTCACAACAACAACAACAACAAAGAGGCAACGGCTTCCCTTCGCCTTGACAAGTTGGCGCGTTCGGTTTGCGACACGCGTAAAAGAAACGGTGAAATCCTAATCTTGTTTTGAAAGACTTTGACCCAGAGACCCGGTCTCCCCGAGTCCCAATCAGGACTCCGATTCTGAGGCCCAGTCTCTTCGCGCTGAATTATCCGATCGAGCATCCTGCAATGCCGTGACGTCGCCGTGACGTCACCGCGTGTTTTTTCCGCTTTTGCCTCTCACACAGGGCCGATTTTGCGAACCAGACCTACAGCTCAGTCTGCAAACGGGCAGGAGGTGGCGCTGCAGACGCAACGGAACAGCCACAGGCTCACACGCAAGAGGGTGAGATCGGTGCGGGGGTGCGTGTGCGAATGTGTGTGTGTATATTTGTATGGGGAGCGATAGTGTAGCGGTTAGCGCGCTGCGCTATGAACCTGGCTACCCGGGTTCGATTCCCGCTCACGGCCAACACCAGTGACGATTATCTGAACCGGTCCCGGGCCTCCCCTAGGTCGACTCAGCCTCAAATGAGTACCTTGTGCGGTGTGTAAACATTGCCACTAGGGAGACAAAGGCGGTCGGGCGTGGTGCTGGCCACCCACCCCCTCGTGTACCGTTCCGGCCTTCATAGGTGCTCGCTAACAGCACTTGCCCCTACAGTCTGTTAAGGCTATACGGGGGATCTTTTTGTGTATATTTGTACGGGGAGGGGTGGTGTAGCGGGTAGCGCGCTGCGCTACGAACCCGGCGACCCGAGTTCCTTTCCTGCTCACGGCCACCAACACCAGTGACGGTTTTTTCTGAACCGGTCCTGGGCCTCCCCTAGGTCGACTCAGCCTCAAATGAGTACTTTTTTTGTAGTGTTATAAAAAAACATCGCCACTGGGAAAACAAAAGCGGCCGCGCGTGGTGCTGGCCACCCACCCCCTTGGTGTGCCGTGCCAGCCTTCGTAGGTGCTGCTGGCTAACAGCACTTGCCCCAACAGTCTGTTAAGGCTGAAACGGGGAACTTTATCTTTGTATATTTGTGGGGAGCGGTGGTGTAGCGGTTAGCGCGCTGTGCTACGAACCCAGCGACCCGAATTTGATTCCCGCTCACGGCCACAAACACCAGTAACGATTCTCTGAACCGGTCCTGGGCCTCCCCTAGGTCGACTCATTCTCAAATGAGTACTTGATGCAGTGTGTAAACATCGCCACTAGGGAGATAAAGGCGGCCGGGCGTGGTGCTGGCCACCCATCCCCTCGTGTGCCGTTCCGGCCTTCATAGGTGCTGCTCGCTAACAGCACTTCGCCCAGCAGTCTGTTAAACAATTAAACTAAACTTTTTTTTTATTTTACCAGGTATGTAGCTCTGTTTCAGAAGCGACCTGGCCATCACAAATCGTAGCTCAACGAAGTGGACTTATCATCATCATCATCACGTGGAACTTTATAGCAGCCAGATGTTGATTCTAAATGCGGAGGGAAAAACCGGAGGACCTGGAGAAAAATCCACGCAACCAAGGGGAGTTAGAGAGAGACACCGCAAACTCCAAATATGCAGCAGCACACGTCAGGATCTGGATAGAACCCACGACCTCCTGTAGACCAGGCGAGGTAGTTAACATCTCCTAGCCACCGTGATGATGATGATGATGAGAGAGAGATGCAAACTCCAAATATACAGCAGCAGGCATCGTCAGGGTCTGGACAGAACCCACGACCTCCTGCATACCAGACGATGTCGTTAACATCTCGCCACCATGGCTCCCCTGAAGGCTACGTGTCTGTGTGTGTGTGTGTGTACAGAGAGCCCTTACGACCTCCTCCCGTCGCCCGTCCCCGCCGTGTTGAGCCACCGGGACCTTCCCGAGGGGACCTGGACCCCCCCCGTGGGGCCCGGCTCGGCCGACACTGACCCCCCCGCCAGCCTCCCAGGCAAGGGCACCTCCTCGTTCGCACCCAGGGAATGATTAAGGAACGAAACAAAGGTGGACTTCTCCACAAATTTGTGGCTGTCGCCTGACGAAGCCGGCTGTAATCACTGGCGAAACGTCACGGTACTCAGATTGTAAATGTTGTGGCTTGGCTCTCCAACACACAACCGGTGTGCTGTAATAGTTTACTACACTATACACTACACTGTACACTACACTATACACTACACTACTATACACTATACTCTACACTATACACGACACTATACACCACTATACACTAAACTGTACATTATACTACTATACACTACACTATACACTAGTGCTGTACTCGTATACTACACTATACACTACACTATACACTACACTACTATACACAATGCACTACTATACACTACACTATACACTAGTGCTGTACTAGTAACGAATTGGCACGTTCTGTTTACGTGACAAACCTTACTAATTGGCTGTGTCGGGTGGTGGTGGTGGGTTTAACAACACTATTATATATTTACGCGATCTTTGCCAAACAAACAAAAAAAAAACCCTGTATTATGGATGATATTGGTCGCGAAAGCCTGCTACGTGTTAAACCAGTGATTGTTGATGCAGCTCAGTGTGAAGAGGTGCCCAGCTGGCGCTGCGAGAGATACCCAGAGCCCGTGTGACCTGGGAACTCGGAGTCCCAGGGTCCCGGGTTCCAGTCCGGGTTTCAGTCTCATCCACAGCGATTACCCTGGAGGCTCATAGACTCCTCACACAGAGACTTATAGACTCACACAGAGACCCGTAGACTTGCACAGAGACCCATAGACTTGCACAGAGACCCATAGACTCGCACAGAGACCCATAGACTCACACAGAGACCCATAGACTCACACAGAGACCCATAGACTCGCACAGAGACCCATAGACTCGCACAGAGACCCATAGACTCGCACAGAAACCCATAAACTCACACAGAGACCCATAGACTCACACAGAGACCCATAGACTCGCACAGAGACCCATAGACTCGCACAGAGACCCATAGACTCGCACAGAGACCCACAGACTCACACAGAGACCCATAGACTCACACAGAGACCCATAGACTCGCACAGAGACCCACAGACTCACACAGAGACCCATAGACTCACACAGAGACCCATAGACTCACATATAGACTCAGAGCTTGAACCCAGGTTCTCAGCCATGCTTGCTCAGTATTTGAGACACGGCCATTATGAACCCATTAAGAACCCTGAACGCAGATCCAGGCCTGGAAGCGAGGATCTCGGCATTAGCTTGCTCATTGGCTTTGACATTGTCATCATGAAACCCTTGAGAAAGAGACACCTGGACCCGGGGCTCATTCTTGTTATGTCACAGATCACGTTTGATTTAGTTTTAAACCCCCGGTTTTTTTTTCTCCTTCTCTCCTTCAGATGCCCACCAGGCCCCAGCCAGGCCTCCGAAGCCTCTACCTCGCCTGGCGATTGACTCGAACCTCACTCCGGGCCTCGAGGCCTCTTCGGCCTCTAGCCGGGACTCAGGCCTACCTAATTGGGACTCGGGCCTAACTAGCCGGGACTCGTGCCTACCCGTCCGAGAAGCAGCCGTCACAAGTCGGGAAGCAAGCCTTACGGGATCCAGCCGAGAACCAAGCTTGGCTAGTCGAGAAATGGGCCTACCGAACCGGGACCCGGGCCCGGCTATCCGGGAGGCAGGCCTCGCCGGAACTGGCCGAGACGCGAGCTCGGCCAATCGACACGCGCCCTCGGCCAGTCGAGACGCTGGCCTGGCGGGTTGGGAGCCGCTTCCGCTGGGCCGGGACCAGCAGGCGAAGATGGACGGAGAGATTGCGAAGCTGATGGGAGAGGGCTACTCCTTCGAGGACGTCCGGCGGGCTCTGGGCATCGCCCACAACGACGTGGTGATGGCGAAGAGCATCCTGCGAGAGTTCGTGCCGCGGTCTTGACCCGCGAGTGGCCCCGGCGCGTTTGGCTTCGGCGGTTTCAGGCCCTAGCGGTTGCCGCCCCCCCGCCCCGCCCCGCCCCGCCCCCCCCCCACCCCGCTCGCCGACCCCCCCCACTGGTTAACACCGCGGGTGCACTCACCACAAACTCGACCGTGGCGTCCGCTCCGCAGCGAAGACGTTTACTGAAAGAGATCCCGCGACGTCGTGGTTCAATCCACTGCTCGCAAGATTACATGGTTGGTCGGCAACAACAACAACAAAAGCACCACAAAGCGACGTCGCCACAGGGTGGGGGGGGCGGGGGCAGACTTGCGCAACATGCGCCACCTTGTGCCGCCCCGGGGGGGGGGGGGGGTGGACGGTAATGGGTTAGGGGTACCCCTTGAGCTAAGACTGCCGAAGAAGGGGAGGGGGGCGTCTCTGGACGTACACCGCTTCTCCTTGGGAGGCGCGGCATCGATGTTGAGTTGGCGACAATTCCTACGCCCGTTCAGAGCGGGGGGGGGGGGGGGGGCGGTGGAGTTGGCGGCGATCGTGACGGGAGCCTTGAGCGCGACGAGCGCTCGGTGCGGATCGTTCCTCGTCCTTCCCCTCCACTCTCCGGCGTAGGCGGCTCTTGGTGGTGCGGAAATCGAGCTTGGAGGGGGAAGGAGAGAGGAGGAGGAAACGCAAACACCGTGCTTGGAAGAACGGTGTCACCGAAGAAGCTCCCCCACCCCACCGCCGGCACGGTGGTTGGCGGCGAAACGTCGGACATGGTGGCGGCGCGCGGAAAGATGCGCGGAGTCGGGGAGAGCTTGTCCGGGAGAAGAAGGAAAGTGATTTTGCGTTGTTGTTTTTGTTTGTTGTTGTTGTTGTACGTCACAGTGCCCTGCCCGCGCGACGCTTTGGGCATTTCGAAACTCCCAGCGCCCCCGCCCCCCCTAAACCCCCACCACCCCCACTCCGCTAGGTTGGCAGTGCCGCCGCCATTGTCGTTGGGCGCGGCGAGTGATGATGAGCGTGGGTGAGCGTGGATGAGCGTGGGCGAGCGAGCGCGTGTGTACATTTTGCCGGCGTGCGTGTGAATGCAAAGACACGCCGGCGATTGGGAGGGTGACCCTAGGGAGATAATCATATTTTTCACATTTATTGATTACTCCAGAGTAAATTAACGCCAATGTAATCCTGTGTTTTTGCCGTTTAAAAAAAGAAAAAGTAACAATCTGATTATCGTATTATATTGTGTTCTGGGCGGGGGGGGGTGGGGATGCTGACATAGTGGTTGTGGTGGTGATGGTGGTGTTGTTGTTCGTGGCCAGCGCGCTCGGAATCGCGACCCAGAATCCTGCCGGTTTGACTCCATCTCTCCCCGGCACCTCCGCCCTTCGTTTCCCCCTACGACTGTGGGGCTTTCTAATCGTAATCTGTGTTCATGAGCTGCTGCTAACTGCCCCCCATCACCCATCACCCCCACCACCCACCCCCCCCCCCCCCCCCCATTTTTCCCGAGCGGCTGACGTAATAATTCCCCATCCTTTTTTTTAATAGTGTTTTTTTTTAATCGTAACTTTTCTCTGAATTTTTAAGCAAATCGCACAAAGTAATCGGCTGGCGCCCACCAGGCATTTGGGCGATAGGGACCACTCGCCAAACGCCGAGTAATCGAATCCGCCTCCGCCTATCCGATTAGAGCCATCGCGTCGGGGGGATGCCGATGCCTCACGTGTCGATGTCCTCGGTGCGGGCCGCGTTTTATCGACTCGCAGAACACTTCGGCAACCGCTCTGTCTGCGCTATCGTGTGGTGGGAGCAGTGGCGTAGTAGCGGTTCGCGCGCTGCCTTGCGCTCCGAACCCGGCGATGCGGGTTCGGTTCCCGCTCACGGCCAACACCGGTGACCAGTGTCTGGACCAGTGACCTGGTGGGCCCCTTCCCCTAGGTCGAGTCGGCCTCAAATAATAATAATAATAATGCAATTTATAACGCGCGCAAATTTGCGGAAGCGTGGTCGTGGAGGCGAGTTTTTACGTGTCTCTTTGAAGGAGACGATTTGAGGCGACGCTGCGAATGTGCAGAGGGATTGCGTTCCAGACTGTTGGGGCTGCCACTGAGAAGCAGCGCATAGAGTACTCGGGTGGGGGGGTGGGGGGGGGTGACGACGTGTAAAAACATCGCCACCAGGGAGAGAAAGGCGGCCGGGCGTGGTGCTGGCCACCCACCCACACCCTTCGTGTGCCACAGCGCCGGCCTTCGTAGGTGCTCGCTACTAGCTACTAACAGCATTGTCCCCCAGCAGTCCGGTTAAAGGCTATCCTCGGGGGGGGTTTGCGGATCTTTTGTCTTTGCTGTGCGTGTAATACAAAGCGGCCTGTACGCAAAACGTCCAAACCCGTTGACTGATTCGTACTGCGTTGTTTTACAGTTTTTGTGTGGTCGTGACATACCACTCCCCCCTCCCTCCTTCCTCCTACGACGAGGACGCTCACGCGCGTTCGAATGATCGGAGCTCCCGCGGCAACGTGGACCGAAACGTCGGACCTTTAGCCGCCGAGCAATGCTTCGGCAACGCAAGCCCTCCCCCCCCCACCTCCTCCGGCGGAGAGGCTGCGTTTACCGAGTCGCCGGACTCATGACGACGGCGGCCAACAGCGGACGTCGCGAAGGTCGCAACGTAACGGGGAAAGGCACCGCCCCCCCCCTCCTCCATACTGCCCCCCCCTCCCGGTTGGTGCGACGTATATATCTTATTTTATATTTACACATATATACAAAGCGCATTCACTCAAGGCCGCTTGGCTCAGTAACAACAACAACAACAAAAGGACGACGACACGGAGTAATAGAACGATTTTCAATGGCGGCGGCGGGGTGGGGGGGTGGTCGGCGCTACGGAGGGGTAGCAAAAGGGGGGCTGTTGGGGAGGAGGAGAGGGGAGGAGAGGGGCGAGGGAGGAGGAAGAGAATGGGCGGTGGGGAAGAGGGGAGCTCGCGAATGCGCGTTGAACTTCCTCTTCGGCGAGCCGACCGGCTTTCGAGATATTGGAACGCCGTGCCCCCCCCCTGACGTTGTTGCGATCGGAGTCGCTAGATAGATTGAAGTCTGCTTTGAAGGCCCATCTCGTCGAGGCGGCCTGCCCTCTATAGTTTGTTTTTTGTTTCCTGCTTTTCATGCATTGGCGCATTGGGGGGGTCCTCGGACGGAATGCCGCATCATACGTTTGCATCATTATTATTATTATTTGCCAAACCGCGGGACCACCCAACTCTCGCTCGCTATCCGTCACGGCCTCAACTCGAATGCCTCATCACTGTCGGGGGGGGTGGGGGTCTTGGGTCTTCGCATCCACCTGCCGTTTTCCCAACACGCAACACACTCTTGTAGCAGTAAGAGGCCGATGAGGCTACGAAGTTCTTTCACTTTTTTCTTTCTCTCCTCCCTCCAACGCAACACGTCCACCGTCGAATTTAACGACAGCTCGCTCGCGGCCTTCCAAAGGAGAAAGCGAAATCGGCGACGTGTCGGGCAAGAGGCCCTATTTCCGTAGCGCGTGACTGCTTAAAAATCATACTGTCCAGTGAGCGTGCGACTGAGCAGACCCACTGTGGCTGTCGCCTGATGATGCTGGTGGTGGTTGTTGTTGTTGTTTGTAATTACCGGCGAAACGTCGCTGTACACGGATTGTAAATGTGCGTGTCGTGGGTTTTACTCGCCCAACACGCAACCAGTTGGTGGTGAAGTAGTAAACTAATCGGCACGTTTTGTTTACGTGACAAACCCCTTACTGATTGGCTGTGTCGAGTGGTGGTGGTGATGGGTTTAACGAGACATTCATACTTACGCGATCTAACCATGGCCATAACAGACTGCACACAACATGTAACGACGCAATGCCCCCAATCCACAAATGCTTATCTGTGGCCTGACCCACCTGAATGTGAAATTGCTCATTGTCGCTCCGCCATCTCCGTCAGCCGTACGACAAGAAGACGATAGCACAAACTGCTGCTTGTGTGTGTGTTGTCCTTCCCCCTTCCCGCCCGCACCTCCGATTAACGCGGTTGGCTACGTACTGTGCGAAAGAAGTTCAACGTACACACAGTACAGGATAGGGCGCGGGGGGGGGTACTGCTTTAAGCGTTGAGGACAGACCTCACCCGTACCTTCAGGAGAGCGAGAGCGAATGTTACACGCGGTGTGAGGACCGCGGTAACGTGGCCGCCCGCCCGGCCGCACGTGTGAAACGGCCGGATTTGTGAGCGTCCAGAGAACATGGACCGTCAATTACCCCCCACCCACCCTCCCAACAATCACGCACAATCACTAATGCCTTGGGTAGGGGTTGGAGAGGGCGGTTAACTGGTCGGGATGGATATGTAACGTTGCACTACACTGCACTTCCTTAGACTGCTCCACCCAGGCTGCCCAACACAAGTCTGTAACTTCGTGCGAGTCTGTGGTGCCCTGTGGCGAGTCTTTGTGTCTCCGTGGGCCTGTGGGTCTCTGTGCGAGCTTGTAACTCCGTGCGAGTCGTTGTGACCTCTGTGAGTCTATGCGTCTCTATGCGAGTCTCTATACAAGTCTGTGGGTCTCCATGCGAGTCAATGATTCTATGTGCGAATCTGTGGGTCTCTATGCGAGTCACTGGTGACTGGGCGGAGACCATCAACTCTCATGGGCAGCGGCTTGAAACCTCGATTGGAACTAAGGCTCCCAGCGTTGCTGGCTCCGCGTCTTTGACCATCTGTGCACCTTCCTGGCCTCTTCTCCAGACTTGGAAACTTTTTGACAGTCCACAACATCACCGCCTAGCTGGTTAGGTACAAGGTTCATCTTCCCTGTGGTTATTATTTGGAGGGGGGTTTGGGAGTGGGGGACCAATATCGCACGCGGTTGCTTATAACCAACAGAGTTATCCGTGGGGGATCGAACTGAGCAGATGACACCGAGGGATAATAGGATGAATCTGCATCTCGACTCCTCTTATCTGCAGAAATCCACGAGTAAATGGAAGTAATGATGTGGCATCCGTTGATGGTGGCTTACTCTGCAGATAATGGGATGAATCTGCATCTGGACTCCTCTTATCTGCAGAAATTCGCAGGTAACACCGTGGATAATAGGATTATTATGCATATCGACTCCTCTTATCTGCAGAAATTCACGTGTGAATAGGAGTAATGATGTAACATCAATTACTCATTGGCTAACTCCGCAGGTAATAGGATAAATTGCCTGCATGGCGACTGTTATCTGCGGAAAGCCGGCAAGTATTTGGAAGCCGCTTTGCATTCCGTTATGGGTTAAAATAAAATGCAGAATGGACTAAATACGATGGCGGGATAATGTGTTTTTTAAGGAGGCAATTGGAGCCATGGGTAAGAGGAGTTGGCTATCTACTGGACATATGCTCAACACATTTGTTAAACCGTGGTGTACGATTCGATTTCCCGCTAGTGGCCAAGCCCTGCGGAGATTACCTGGATCATTCAAGGGCCTCCACGAGGTCGATTCGGCCTCAAACGAGTACCTGGTGCGGTGTGTCATAAACATCGCCACTTGGGAGACGAAGGCGGCCGGGGCGTGGTGCTGGCCACCCCCCCCCCCCCCCCTTGTGTGCCGTGCCAGCCTTCATAGGTGCCGTGCCGGCCTTCATAGGTGCTGCGCCTCGCTAACAGCATTTGCCCCAACAGTCTGTTACGTCTACACGGTGGGGGGGGGGGGATCTTTGTCTCTGTCACACTATGATTGTGGGTTGTGGTGGTTGTGCATGCCTTAATTACCTTTGGGTTGTGTATATATGTTGAACTTAGGTTGGTCGCATGCCCGTTTCAATCGCCCCTTCCGAGCCGGGCGAGGTGGGGGTCGGCAGGTCAAGAGTGAACGCGTTGCAAGGTGGCTGCTGCGACCTTACGATGACCGCCCCCCCCCCCCCCCCCCCCCCCCCACGGTGTATGGGAGCCACGGTGTTAACACCCTCGCCTGGTATACAGGAGGCCGTGGGTTCGATCCCGACCCTGGCACCTCTTTATTTGGAGTTTGCATGTGCTCACCGTGTTCGCATGTATTCGAGTATTTGGCTGCTATAAATGTCCACCACTTGATGATGAGCCACTTCGTTGGGCTATCATTTGTGATAGCCAGGTCGTTTCTGAAAAAGAGCTGTACAGCTCAGTTGGCCTTACCTGGTAAAATAAAAATAGTTTAAAATCGGGCGGCAATGCATATTGATGACCGTATGGTATCGACGAGTCTTTGAGTGCGAATTCAGCTTAGAGAATCCTGGGCATCGCTGCTGAGCAGACAGCCACTGCTTTAAACTCTTTAGATATGGCGGTCTAAATCGTGGGACAACTGCACTATCAGCCGTGTTTTTGGGTTTGGTGTTCGAGACAAGGCTGGGAGCATGTACACGCGCACATCGTGGTGAGCATTAAGGCATGCAGGCATGGCATACGCTTGGGAGTTTATGGCTTCCATGCTGTTTGTGAGCATTGTCCCGTCGTGATGAGTTTGCTCTTGAAAAATAAGAATAGATTTTACCATTTCTGGCAATACAAGGAATCAAGTGTGCATTAACCAACACGTACTTGGGGTGAACATGCAAACAAACATGCTCTGATAAATATATATGCATTGTCTTTGAGACTGATTGGCCTATACTAGAGACAGCCTTTAGGCCGCATAGTCTGTCAGAATGTCCATAAAAGCCTGCCATGGTTTCAGCAAACAGAGCCACCCCCAACAGGCCATCGTCGTGCTCTCGGGAAAGCGGCCGTGGCCTCCGTGCTGTTGTAATTGTAACGTTGTCAGGGTTAGACTTTACTCTAGTTGGCCTGTGGGCCCGCACCCTGCAGCGCTAAAGCCGCGTTGCTGCCTGCTTGCACGTATTTGATTCAACGCTTTTTATTACCTCAAATCAACGTGGAAATCCAACCACTGTAATCCCCGCCCCTTCCTCTCTCGGCCCTGCAAACTTCCTGTTTTGGCTCTGCGCCTTTCCTTTTTGGCCCTGCCTCTTCCCCTCTCTAGGCCCCGCCTCCTCCCTGTTTATGCCCACACCCCTTCCCGATTAGGCCCCCGCGGCGTCGTCTCTTCCTGTTTTGGCTCTGCGCCTTTCCTTATTGGCCCCTGTTCCCTTCTTCGGATGCGATTGTCCTATGGGCAGACTGCTCTCTGGCATAGGAGCGCCACGATGGCTCGGAGCTATTAACTCCTTCGCTTGCTATTCAGGAGGTCGTCGGTTCGATCTCGACCCTCACGCCTATATATTTGGAGTTTCCATGTTCTCCCTATGGTCACGTGGATTTTTCTCCAAGTCCTCCCTCCACATTTCGGACAATACGTTTAGAGTATTTGGCTGCTATAAATTTCCACATGATGAAAAGCCAACTTCGTTGAGCTCTCATTTGTGATAGCCAGATTGCTTATGAAAAAAAATCTATGTAGCTCAGTGGGGCCTTATACCTGATAAAATAAAACTAGGTTTTTGTTGTAGAACGTGGAACAACCGACACTGGCTCATTGTTGCCACCAGACGAGTCGCCTCCGTACCGACGACACGTGACGGTAAGCTGAGCACGATAAGCGGCGACGCTTTCTACAACCACCGACGCGGCTCTCTCCATCTCTCGACGCACGAGAGGTGCTTTACCCGTTCTGTTCCCCACCGTGTCAACTTTTGCCAGCGTGCCTCTCGCAAAGCATGGCGACGCCTTGCGGGCCGCGACGCGGGTCGTCCCCACGCTGCTGCTTCTGCGTTGCGTGGAACGCGGTTGAGCGATAGCGTGCCCACGCGTGGTCACCTGTTCGTCGGTCGCAGAGGTTTGCGATACTATTTGTACTGTGTGTGCGTGATTGTAAAAATACTCAAGACCGGTAAGTGCCCCCTCCCCCCCCCCATTGAGCGAAGCGGCTCCGTTACGAGGACGGACCCCGGTACTCCGCACCATCTGCTTTGACGGTGAACTTTTTAGTTTAAAATTTATATTTTTGCTGCCCACAATAACAAAGTGCCCGCTGCAGAACGTTGGGCGAAAGAAAAACGACCGCACGCGATTATCCGGCAGGCCCCCCCCCCCATGTACCCGACGTGTCCTGATTGATCGGGGCGGGGTGGGGGGTGATTGACGGTGAACTTTTAAAGATCTCTCGTGACTCAATTGAAAAAAAAGAACTGGGTTAGGCCCTGTTGTGTGTGCCGGCTGGCGTCACGGTCCAAATTTGATTCGAAATTTGTTTTGTTGGTAGCTAAATAACTCGCGTAGCATCGGCCCCCCCCCCCTGCACTATACTGGCAGACTAATACCTACTTGCTGCCTGCCGCCCCCGCGATATGTGTACTGCATGGGAGGCACAGTATGATTATTAAGCGATGACGGTGGTGCTGATGGAGGAGGCTGCCGCTGCATGGTCCCCTAGGCTAGGACTACACAGCAGGTCATTGTTGGAATGTTGGGAGTGCGCCGGGGTGTGACGTCACGTGACGTGGCGTGACGTCGCGAGCCTCGATTCGCAGGTGGCTCGATAAGAAAAAAAAACCCCTCGCCGTTGACGCGGCTCCGGCAAACGAATCGCACGACGCCGCCGCCGCTGTGTAAACTTTTTTTTGCGTGCGTGTGTAACGAAACTTCGGTCGGACGTGCGACAGGAACTGCCTGTGGATGAGAAAACCAACGCAAATGTGACGTGTCCACAACTCCCGTTTGTTGCCTTCAAACAAAAATAACGATGCACTTTTCTAACCGCGGGGGGAAAAACTGCGGCTACAACCGAGCCGAGCCTGCGTGCGGGTGGGTGGGTGGTAGGGCCAGCATGGGACGGATGTATATTTTTTTTCCCACTGGCGATCTGCCAAGCCGAGCCGGAACCAAAAGTTGATACGCTGCTGGAATCGGAGTCCAATTCGTATCTGGGTTGGGGCCAGGGGGCGGTGGCTAACGATGCATCCTGACGTCAGCCGGTGACGTCAGCCGGTGAGGACGGCAGCGTCACCGAGCCACCAACGTGCTACGTGGGACGTCGGCGGCACTGCTCGGCTTAAAAGTGGAAAAAAATCAACAACCTTTGGCTGGCTCGGCACGGCCCTAGCACGGCTCAGTTGTGCTAGTGGGGTGTGGGGTGGGGGGGGAGAAAGAGGTATTATAGGGACACAAAACCGCTATTCTGTGCACGCGGTCACGTGATGGCGATCACATGATGATCGTTACACGGCTCCGGCACAGGAATGGATCATGCTTGCTAGCGGGATTGCTTGATTTAGTTGGTTCTCGATTATGGCCTTTGCGCAAGATATGTGCTCGCAATGGGCCCGTCGTAAAATGAGTGGCGTGCATTAGCCGATGTATTGTAAATAACAGGTTCAACAAAACCACGCAAAGGTTAAAGTGTTGGCTGATAACGTTGTTGTGTCAATGTAAAAACAACAACCCCATAAGCGATGGGAGAATTTAAACAACAAAAAAGTATTGGTTTGTAAAACGTTTAAAACTAATTGTGTTTCTGTATCTTTAAGGTTTGAAGTTTGGTTACATGTATAGCGAATGATGTAGTTTGTATGCGTCTCTCCAGTTTTATTTGTGACAATGTTGACTCTTTAACCGTGTCTCTCGCATGTCTGTTCGTTTTAAACTTCGAAGAATGGCTTAAAACAAAACAAACAAAAACCCGCAACAATGCTGCCCAAACGGAGGCAGAGAATGGAGTTTTAATTTTGTTTTGAGCCTCCGAAGGTTCACGGATGGGTTAGGGTCCTTCACCTGTTTTCCCAAAACAAATACACACGCAAAAAAATCGGCTTCAAAGGTCAACGAGCGAGCTTTGGGGCAGGACAATAAAGCTGCTCGACGCCTTGGAAGGAAAACTATATAACAGGCGACGTTTCGAGCAATGGCCCATGTACAGAAGATATACGATGGGCAATACTTCTCGAGCATATACACCGCCAGTGCTATGTGATTTTTAACCGGCCATTTGGATGGGGTGGGGGGCCTTTGGTTTACCAGCTCCTTGAGTCGGTGATTCTATAAAAAAAAACACAACTACTTGGCCACAACGTTCAGTTCTATTGAGCTGTTGGTCTGGGTAAGGCTGTGCCCCTTTTGTACACGCAAAATATTATCTTGTTATTATTTTTGCCATTCGTAAAGCGCCTTTGGCTCAATGATAGAGTGATGCAGGTGGCCAGAGGCGTGCGGGGAGAGATGAGGAATTGGGTGGCCACGATAGGCGGTGCGGCGTTTGGGGTTGAGGGGTTGGATAGGGGAGGAGAGGTGGTCACGATAAGAGCGGTAACTTTGGGGATCACGGGAGGGTTATAGGGGAGGGACGGGAATGAGTGGAGGGGCGAGGGGAGGGAGGGAAATGGGCGATGGAGAAGAGGGGGGGGGGGGCTTTAAGAGAGGGATGGAATGAAGTTGAGGGGAGATGCTTCATTCAGAAGGGGCAGTGGGAATCTATTGGCAGTGATGAGTCTATGGGCAGTGTTGAGTCTATG